ACGTTTACCTAGTGGGCTGACCAACCGGGACTGATTTGTATCCGCGTCACTCAGCACGCATGCCGAAGTAGTGTAATATGCAGCATCAACACCGCCACCGCATCTCTGCAGACTGTTGACTCATACTCGTACACAGGAACTCGATTGCGCCACGGCATCGTGACTCCCAAGTCTCTCCACGGAGATGATGACTCATGGAATAATACATTTGTGGTGGTGAAATCACAGTAACAAATAAAAAAACAGCAGTAAGACCACAAATTCTTTTTGAAAATTTGTTTTATTATCATACTTAAACATATGTTACAATAATTCTTACTATTCAATATGAATAAAACACAAATTCCAATTTAATCAATAGGAAAGAGAAAATTGAAAACATTACAATTGAACTAACTAATTAAATGCATGATACCGTTACAAACCCATTTTGTGGCTAGCAGCGACCGCGCCCCAGCGGCAACCAAGATGGCGGCCGACGGATGCAGACCCACGCGAAACGCAATGGGACTGTAATTTAGAAAAACATCCTACATAGTATATCACAGATGCAGAGATTTACATTACCTAGGGAGTTATTAGTTTACTAGCACTGGCTTGACATTATCTAATTCTCTAAAAAAACTATCTAGACCACTGAGATCATTCTTCCATAAATTATCAATTTTCTCTCGCTGTTGTTTGGCGATTTCTTCTTCTTTATTGCACAATCCGAGGTCTACTTGCATTTGGGCCCACCTCCTCGCACGTTCTCTTTGTTTCATAATTAGTTCGCTCTCCGCACGAAGTAGAGAGTTACTCAAAATGGCGATTATTCTCAAATCGCGCTTTCTCTTTGTCTTCGCATTTAGCGATTTATTTTTAACTTCACGTACCCAGTTAGACAAGGATTCGGTTTTACTTTCGCAAAAGTCGACAACAGATCTTTCTTTAGTACTGTAGCCCATGGTTAGATATAGGGCAGAAAATAGATGTGCGTGATAGTTTTACACACCTGAATCCGTACAGGCAAAGCTTTCACTTGAAGAACAGGAGCAACACTTCACACACAGTTCACGTCCGCACAGCACCAAGTCGAGAAAATTAATGTGGGCGCTGACGTCATGCTAGCTATTTATACCTGACGCCACCCTCGGCCCCGCTGCGCAGTTGTTCCATCAAAATGGCGACGACCTAGCCGCAGAAATAGACCGTTCAATAAAAGCGCGTTTCTGAATCACCTACCGATAAAAATATTTTTAACGCAAACTTCTTGTAGCCAATATAATGGAATTATAATGCCGCAGACAGAAGTAAATTTGCAATGTCCTTATCTTGCAGGATTTATTTAATATAGATTTTCACAATATGCTTGTCACTCTTGTAGTCAAATTCCACATTAATCAAAAAAGACATTATTATTTACTTTTTAAATAGTTTTGTTATAAACGTAGACATTTTGTTCCTTTTTGTGCAAAAAAGTTTGTAGTTTATAGAGGTTTTATTTAATGTGTACAAACGTTACGAATTTTACATTATGGTGGTGCATGCAGAATTATGAATATTTAAGACTTTAAAAACATATATCCACGTATATGTATGTTTGTCCGTGATTGTCTCAATAATTACTTTTCTTATTTGGATGTGGTTTTCGGTATATAAATGCGTATTTATCAGGGAAGATTGAAGTATATAATATACTAGCGGTGTCCTGTGGTGTTCCCAAGGTTTCACCCGCGTGTAAAATTTACAACCAGTAACGTATACCGTATTACAGTAAAAATAGAAAAATTTATAATTTTTTTATAAAAATAGAAACGAATTCAAAACATACAGTAATAACAGTCTGGTTTTAGAATTTTTAATATTGATAATGTACTTATATCAGATATTATCATTTATTATTTCTAGTGTAGTAATCGCCGTATGTTGTTTCTGAACTGCGCCACAGAGTGAACGTTGGTAGAGGGGAGATTTCGACGATCGATGACGAACGAACGGCGGTATGGGGCACCCGGGGGAGGACTGTACTAGATGTTTCCTTCTGCGCACATTGATTTTTCCCTAATGTGGATAGAATCTGCGTCATTTGGCAAGAAATAGCTTTGAAAATTACCAAGGTACTTAGATGCCAAATCTTTCTGGAAAATACATCTATACTAATCTGTACTAACTTGCCAATGATTGTTCTTGTTAAAACCTTGAAAAACATAATTCAATTTACAGCCAATCAAATCTACTCTGTATATTTTTCATTGTTTGTTGATTATAAATAAGATGAACTGAATTATCAAGTTAAGCAACCTATTTGTTCGTTTATCTGTCACGTCTTGGTCACGTTTGTTAATTTTTCACCGTCACGTGTTATTTCTTCGTCATACATAGTAACATTCCAATGTACATAAATTTATACCTACGTATTTCTGAACAGTTTATTATTTCTACCTGGGCGTTATTCAGCCTGTCCTTTCTTTCGCAATATCGACCCTTCTTTAGTAAACAGGCAGGCCAACGGCTTTTTTATTACTTTAGGGTAGCATTCACGTGGGAATTTAGTACCCCATAGTTTTTCTTTTAATTCTTAGAATAATTACTTATCGATGTAAGAGCCATTTAACAATTTAATGAACGGTGTCCATTAGTTAAAATATAACCCTCATTTCGATTTCTAATGTCTTATTAGTAAATCGGTCAGTTGTTTTGAGTTTCATTTATAAAAGTTTATAATAAGTTAATATCTCATTACTTTATCAACAAAAACTTTATCATTAATATTGTTGAATTGCTAGCACACGAAAACAAGTAAATAAGTAGGGATTGTTTAAAAAATCCTTGAGTGAGTCGAATCAATACAAAGACAACAATGAGCGCTGCGCATGTTTACCAAACGTCGAGTCAATATGAATGCGTTTGTAAATATAAACCTTCGAGGTATAGAAATAGCAGTTAAAATTGTTTGTAATGTAGTGGGAATGGCGTAAGTCGCGATAGCACATTGCGCCGTCCACCGTTATGACGTCATTCCCCTATCATGGCCGTTCAACGGCTGACTAACAGCTGCCACCTGGTTTTATCAAATCCTTTGTAGTATTATTATATTCACTTAGCGGATCAAGTATATATGTATTAGTAACATAGACGTTGGGACTTGAACTTTACTTAAAACAAGTTAGCTTTACTACCTACCTGTAGGAAATAGTAAGTTTGTAGGAATAAGGAACAAGAGACATCGCATCGTTCAAATAAAGTTAATCTTTTTGAAGTTATACTTCTTTAGGCGCGTTATGAAAAAATGATGAGAGTGAAATTTTAAGATGCGCGCGCATCACTGTAACAGAAAATTTTAACAGCATGAAGTTGGTCGCTTTAGCGACCAACTTCATGCGTTACTTTTGTGTTTACCGCACATTAAGAAAATTTACCAACAAAATAGAATCTCTATTTAGTGGGTGCTAACCACGTGCTAACGACTGCATTGTGAAGGCCTATCAAAAGTATTTATTAATCTGGAACAACGGAACCAAAGCGCGATTCAGGAGACTACAGCGCCATCTCTTGACCATTGGTGTAGTAGAACCAAAAACCACATTTTTATTTTTTGTAATAAAGTAACAGTTATAGGTATTCATATTTATAATATTTATCCACATGTTTCTGGTTTGTATATTCGGAATACGTGTTTGAGTTTCATACAAGTGCAAATCACATATGTTCTAATAAATTATATTCAGTAGCGATTTTAATTGAATATTTTGATTATTTATTTATTTTTTCAAATTAAAACTGAACTTTATTGACTGTGTCCTTTTCCAGACTTTTTATTAATTTATTGTAATTAATTATTTGCATGCAATTAAAAACTAATTTTAAACGATGCCAAAGAAGGATAACTTCTCACGCACCCATTTTTTATACTATAGCAGGAAACAAGGCCTCGATTTTCCGTGCCTTTCCAAGCGTTATATCGGTTCGGTTAAAGTCACTGAAGGTTTAACGTTCTGCTATACACTACTATACACATATACATCAGGTTTTCTAGAGTATAGGCTTCTCTATCTTCTAAATAAATTAATATGCTATCAAATAATAAAAATAATATAAAAGTTTGTAAGTGGTCATATGACCACTTACAAACTTTTATATCGAAGAAATATTTACCATATGGTAAAGGTATATTTTTCCACTCCATTTACTTTTTAATATAAAATAAAAATATTAGGGACAAAACGCTAATTTCATCTGTGAAATTAGCGTTTTGTCGTACTGACCACTTTGATCTGAAATATCTCGTCTTTGGTTAAGAATTCCAAATTCGTTCACTACAGCTTTCCAAAATGTGGCCAAACGATTACGGCAGATATCTATTGTCAGCAACTGCAAACTATGAAGGAAGAACTGCTGCTTCACGACAACGCAAGACCACACACTGCACAACAAACAACCACTAAGTAAGATGAGCTACAATTGGAATGTCTGCGACATCCACCGTACTCCCTGGACCTTGCTCCAACAGATTATCTTTTTTTCCCAAATGTGGACAACTTTTTACAAGGACAAAAAATCAACTCCGATGCGGCAGTCCAAACCGCCTTCAAAGAGTTTATTGATTCTAGCCCCCATGGTTTTTTTAGTAAAGGGGTCAATGCACTACCTATGGGATGGCAAAAGTGCATACACATTGATTAATTAAATATATTTTACAAAAAAAAAATGATTATATTACGCCAATTTCATATGTAAGGACCTAATACTTTAATTATGTACGTAACCTGTCGATTGAGAGTCCGACTCGGACTTGGCCGGACTTATCTATATTTTAGGTATGTAGGTACTAGCGGGCTTGGTGTGCGGACATTCGGCAACGGATTACCGCAACATTAGCTGCACGCACCCTGGGGACTTTGGCCCTCAGAGTGCGTCTCGGGCGAACGGTGCAGGAGTATTGTCTGGTTTTTAGTGGCCCCGTTTAGGGCACTGCTCATTCATCCGGCCCAAGGGCTAGCTGAAATGAGCAGGGAGGAGTCCCACATACCTTCTTCTCGCTCCCCCAGTGGTTGAAGGATGCGTAAGCATTTCCCAGACAAAAAAGGCACTAGCGGGCTATGTGATATTGCGAATTGCTTTCTTTTCGTTATTAACAATATAAGCAATATTAAGATTTTGAAACTACATAAGCGATTTCTATTTCAAGTTTATATTTCACATTAAATTAGTCATTTGTACGTTGCGCTCTACGTACTTACTTTATGCTTATTCTTTACTCTGTTATGTACTTGTAACTCTGTCAACAGAGTAAAGTTTTAACCTACCTATATTTATACAAGTGCTACCTTTTCAAATATCGTAAGCTGTCTTTCTTAAATCGCATCTTTTGTAATTCCTTTTATGAATGCCCTAACAAATATCTATCTTAGAAAACTGGAAAACTTAAATAACCACGCAGAAGTGTAAAAAAAAATATTTATTGCATATTGTTAATCATTATGAGAACAAAAAAGAACACACTGACATTATCTCCAAAGAATACTACTAAAACTGATCACTTTTCTAAGAATTTGTACGTCTCATACAATCTTCGGCTTCTGTGCAAACCCATCCGTTTGTTTTTACCAGCTACGTTGTGGCATGTGACATTATCATTTTCTGTAACAAATAATTATTATAGTCAGCAATTTCATTATTAATAATTAATAGGTAGGTATGTATGCGTACGTGTTTTTAATGCTTTCGTATGAAATTTTATTGTTGGGAATCTTTTGTAACGTTGGGAAGGCATTTGTTTTGCAGAAAAAATGTATACGAATACTGACTAACATTAATCACATGAAATCCTGTACATCTTATATTGTAAAGTACAACATGTTAACTTTTGCTCCCATCTGTATTCAGAATTATTCGCTTCAAAAAAAGGAATAATAGAAACTTAAATAAATTTAGATTAACGCTATCCAACATGAAATTAGTTACATCTAGCCCCAGTAAAATGGTGATTTAGATATAACCATGTTCTATTAATTACACACAGACTATTTAAAACAATTTTAAAACACCGACGCAATTTTTGAAACATTTAAAAGACTTTCTCATTGCCAGGTGTTACTATGACTTAATGAATTTTTTGATGTCAAATCAACCAGCCAATGGAATACTTCAAAGCATTAATTTATAAATAATGTATTTTAATTAAGAAAAAATAATAATATTTTAATGAATTAATGTATGGTATATAATGAGTGAATCTTAATTTATAATTTATATTGTGCAATTAATGTATTTTAAAATGAAAATAATCGCGTCACATAGTAACTGTATTTTTCTGTACCAACTTATTTCCGTAAATGTGATATGCAATAAACAAAAAAAAAAAAACCGTTTGACTAGGAGCGAAAAGTAAACAAAATGCGTCAGTTTCTTATTTTCCCGTTTTGATAGAATATCTTATCCAAAAGGGTCAAATTATGTCTGGCAATGTTTATTGCCCATGGCTTACCAATCGGATATTTCCAAAATACAACGATTGTATCTTGCTACTGTGTGTGACAGCCAAATTTCGAGGAATATAAGAAGTTAAGAACTTTACAGCTAGGCACTGTGTTAGGCACATGTCCAAAGGTCGCATTTAGGTATTGCAAAATATCTAAATGCGACCTTTGGACATAATACAAAGTTTCGATCTTTTTTAAGCTTATTATATTTTGTTCTTCCATTTGTTTGTCATATTTCGCCATGAACGAACAAAAATCTAACAATAGATCTTGTGTATTGTTCATAAGTTGCGGTATCAACGTTCTTCGCTGTAAGAGCAATATTCCACGTGCGTTGCAGTCATGTACAGGTCGACAGATTTATATGGATTTGTAAAATAAACTGTCGTTTTAATTGTTTGCAATGACGATAATTTTATTTCTGTTTGTTGCAAGGAGCAAGTTACACTCGATAACAACCAAGCGGTAACCGATACTAATTGTAGCATTGAAGAAGGTACGCTTTAGTCTAAAACATTGTCTCAAACTTAATGGCGAATGGAGAAGGAGTTCGATGACGCAGTGGTCAGCGTGTTCGGTTTGCGATCCTGGCAGTTAAGCAACTTCCGCAATGACCGATCAAAGGATGGGTGACCAAAATTTATTATCTCTGTCTTCACTTCTCTATTTATTATCCTCGGGAAGTACCTACATTAATACGTTGGTCTTGGTTGCATCTGCAGTCGTTTGCACTTACCAATCCGCACTGGTCTCGCATGGTGGGTCATGTCATCGCCCGGTCTCTCTATTACATAAATAAATAAGTAGGCTAGTGATATTATGTCTAAAGGTATCGCACTCGTTTGATGCTCCACCAACCATGCGATGTTTATTCATTAAATATTATATATTAATGATCATTTAATGATCATTCAATAAAAATGTATTTTTATGTATAATTTTGACATGACTGGTTTGAGTACTTGCTATGAAATGTGATTTATGATTGTATGAATATTGTTTTAGAGAGAAAATTATTATAATTTTATGTTGCTGACATTGAATTACTATTATTTTTAATGTAATATTGTACGCCCGAAATCGGCAAGCTGTTGGCACTACCTAATTTTAAGAACCACTTGTACACGATTTTGGACAATAAATAATTATCCTATCTTATTGTAGTAGGTATATAATTTATTTCTTATATTATTTTTATACATGCAAGATGTTAGTAATTACAGGGCTACGTTTCTATTTAATATTTAAATTACTGTTATTGGTTTTTAATTGGTGATAAACACCGCGCGATTGACATGCTTTGAATATGGTAGGTATATACAGGTTGGCGCAAAAGGAACAAAGGGGTTTGAATAATCTATAATTTCTATATTTCTAATTCCAAGCTGCGAATGGGCACCACTTACGCGACGTTATTTTTAAGTTTAAATTAATCAAATTCCAGATTAATAAATTGTTATATTACTAAATAAAAAAATAAGAAATTATAGAAGACTAGCAAATAGGGTTGCCATCCGTACTTTATTATAAAGTATTGTACGTTATTTCTTGTAATAGAGTATTTGACAGTATTAAAAATAAAGTGCCAATTGTTAACATCTGTATTTAGAATGAATATTGGCAGCGGTTTTTACTATTTAAAAAAAAATCATAATTTCACTAAAAACCCACGAAAAAGATAATAGTTTTCTAATATATTGTCACGTGACCCAAAACGCTTGGGATTGGCGGAGCCTAAAATGACGTCACACGCAAGTAAACTTCCGGTTAAAATGACATTACATTGTATCGTTTGACGTTTTAATAACAGTCTTGTGTCGTTACACACTAGTAAGACTCCATATTGTCCAGAAAAACGTTTCGCGGCAACTTGAAAATGGAGTTGTGGATTTGGTTATTTTTACTGAAATACACAACAGAATGATGAATATCCACTTTTTACGGACTCCATAAAATAAGTCAATAACGTGAGATCGTTTTCTAAAACTCTTGTCTAGTACCCTATTATACTCTATACTTTATGCTAACAATAAAGTACAAGAAAATCTTAACTTAATGTGATTTGATTACTCGGGGATTAATTTTACATAAAATATACAAAAAGAGGTTGATATGAATAATTTTTGCGTAAAACAGACAGGCAGTATGAATATGTCGCCCTTAGTTAATTCAACATTGCAACATTTTCGTGGCTGTATGGCTTTGTACCATGACCTTTCCCATTGCTGAAAAGAACTACAGATTTTTAGTAGGCACAAATTATTTAGTACAAGTTGCTTGTTATTTAAGTAGCAACGTAAAATATATTTTTAAGCTTACTAATGAAGTGGAATAAAAAGTACTTTATTTTGGACACAATGTATTTTTTTTCCTTTAATATCCAAATGTACTTTATTTCGACAAAAAAAAGGTGTCAACCCTACTAGCAAACCAGTGAAACAAATGTTCACAAAACCAGATTTAAAAAAAAAGTATTTAATTAATTGAGAACTTCGGAGATTTTGTGTGGTTTCGTTTGAAATTCGTGATTTCTCGAAAACCGGAAGTGCTACGTTATTCAAATCCGGTTTGTAGTCTTATCAGACTATTCTTAACTTATAACTTAAACATTCTCTTTATCTATCTCTTACGGTTTGGCCGCTGAAACAGCACCACAGACAGACGGACGGACGGACGGACTTGTCTAATAGATAAGAGATTCAAGCCCCTTCGTTTCTTTTGCGCCATCCCGTATAACAGAGTAAACATTTAAAAAGCGATCTGAAGTAACGTTCTCAATAGTATTTACTACAACAAATTGGACATCACTATTGTGACAATGATAATAGATATAACGACAGAAAAGCGGAGATTCCGATACCGTAAAATATTTTGACATATGTAAAGGAAACCACCCGAAAACAATTTGGGAATTGGGCCCGGAAGCTCAGAGAAGGCAAATCTCGTATTATAAATTATATTGAATAAATTGACACTTGATTGATAGTTACCTTTTTGCACGCCAACATTCTCAAGCTAAAAAGATTGTCCGTTAAAAAAAACATTATTAAAAATTAAGTTTAAATTCATATTTGAATAACCCGGGCGTGCTTCATAGTTGGGATAGATATTAGTTTTAAAGTCTCTTCCTTTATCTTTGAGGTCACGGGAAGAGTTAAAAGTTAGTTATATTGTTTTCTGTTTAAAATAATTTCAATTAATTAATACTTAAACTAAATTAGGCAACTTAAGAGGGTGCAGTTACTATTTTATTGAATGAGTATTATATTATACGCCAGCATTGCATGAAACATCATCTAGTCTAAACAAAATTGAGGAGTTCACAGTGTGGTTATCGCGTCTGCTATCGTGTAAGCAAGCAACTTTTGCATAGGCCGAGTGCTCTGACAATCTACAAGTTTGAATTTTGGCACGAAGGCGCGTGGTAGTTTTCAGGAAGTTACAGGATGGGTGACCAACAATTTATTATGTCGCCCATCACTAAACCAGCAGTGAGGACCTCAAGAGGCTAATGATAATGACGATGAAATCTAAAATAGATATAATGAATTATTACATTACCTTAAGAGGATGCAGTGCGTTAGTTAGTTGCAAGCCCAGACTTCTGGCCAGCACGATCGGTGGTAGATCGACCGTGTACAGCCGATGTAGAGCGTCCACCGCTATCTGAGTGGGCACGTTGTGTCTTTGACGAGAGCTTTCGTACTTTTCTAACCAGCTATGGTGTGCTGTATCAATAAACACCAAACATATATATATATTAATATTACGATACGGCTTGTAAGTTAGGATCTTTATTAAAACATAAACAAAGTACAAGCAGATCGACGGTGTATAGCCGATGTAGAGCGTCCACCGCTATCTGAGTGGGCACGTTGTGTCTTTGACGAGAGCTTTCGTACTTTTCTAACCAGCTATGGTGTGCTGTATCAATAATCACCAAACATATATATTAATATTACGATACGGCTTGTAAGTTAGGATCTTTATTAAAACATAAACAAAATACAAGCAGATCGACGGTGTACATCCGATGGAGTGCGTTCACAGCTATCTGAGTGGGCACGTTGCGTCTTTGACGAGAGCTTTCGTATTTCTCTAACCAACTATGGTGCGCTGTTACAACACAAATACCATGTATTACTATACGAAGTATTAGGATCTTTATTTTGACATAAACAAACTACAAGTAGATCGACAGTGTACAGTCAATGGGGAGCGTTCACCGCTATCCGAGTGGGCACGTTGTGTCTTTGACGAGAGCTTTCGTATTCCTCTAGCCAGCTATGGTTCGTTGTTATAATACAAACACCATTCATCTATATTACCACAGTGTTACCAAGATCTTGTGGCGCGTTGGCGAATATGGTACTTATTGTAGGAAGGTATAAATGAGCCTTTTTATTTTAGAGGACCGGAAGGATAGTCAGGAGATTTTACGTAATTTGTAATAATCATTTCACCAATTTTCCACCAGCAGCTCCCACCTGTAAATGTCATAAAAGCGCCTCAAGATCTTGGTCGCACTGTACACTGCCTGCAAGTTAGAACTATTAACAGTTTTCGTTGTAACGGACGTAAACAGATTACAAGTGTACAGCCGGTTTTAACAAGAGCTTTCGTACTATAACCAGCATGATTCGCTATTTAAAAAAACACCATACGTTTACGAATTGGAGCGCCCGCCTGGAGAAGTATTTGAAAACCTTCGGTGGTCAAAAATAACAAAACGCAATCGTAAGCGATAGCGATAGCCATCGCAATCCCGTTAGGCAATTGACCCCCAGCCCCTCTAGCATGACCACGATATATCGCTTTATCATATCCCGTTTCGGTGGTCATGCTAGAGGGGCAGCATTGCCTATTAGCACGACCACGCAACCTCATGTTGGCGACTGGCTGCGGCTACAAAACCTCATTTTATAATAAGTTTATATTTTGTACTTGCTTATTTCTCTATGTCACTATTTTGACACCATTATTATTGTTTGATAGATTTTTGCTATTGTCTTGTCAATACTACTGCTTACCAACGTTTTATTTGTGAACTCGAAATTATAAACATACTTATTTATGTACATGTACATTAAACCCATTTGAGTTTAGTACAGTCCACCGCTACACGAACACATATTATTGTAATTTGTATGACTCATACGATTCCGAGAAATAAAGGCAAAAACAATGAGTCACGAGAAACGATTCCAACGACTACTTTCGAAGAATTTCTTTTGTTACATATCTTTAAATTAAACAATGATGTTATTGCAACACCTTTCCACAAAACAGGATTATACTGGAAATCTTCAACTCATTAGGTAGTTGAATATCACCACGTGAATTCACCTAACTAATAATCCTTTTGTAATAATAACCTAAGTAGGTACTTAAAGGTCCAGTTTTTACTGATTAGACCGTTAATTTTCAAGAACCGAGAACACAATTGATTCATCGTGGTCATATTTTTCTTTCAAGTATTTGTTGTAAATGTTTTTATAGCAGCAGCAGCAATTTTCTTGACTGGATTTCACTTAAGTCAAATTTATGAAATAAGTGGCATGGCGATAAAAGTAGGTACGTGGTATAAAATTCATCAAAAATTTCAAGTGTGACGTTTACACGTGAAACTGTTGATGAAAATAATATCACATAACTACTATTTTGCCACTAATTTAAAATGTAAATTCGGATTTACACTTATATTAGGTGAGGTATAGGGTAACTTGCCGCGTTTCTTAAAGAAAAGATGCATGCTTAAAGGTACAGTTCGGCCGATATATCTGGTATGTCTGAAATTATGCGTTTAGGTGTGGGGTAGACAATTTCAATTTTACGTGAATCAATGGCTAGCGCTTGATGCCGGAACTTCACTTGACTATTCGTATTTGTTATTTGTAAACTTGACAACAGTCTGTCCTTTACATGCTTTATATGGAATGAAAAGGACAGACTGATGTCAAGTTTACAAATAGCAAACACGAATAGCCAACTGATAGCAGGCTTCACGGTTATTCATATTTGTTAACTTTAGCATTCCCGTCATCATTTCCTATATATACATTATAATAAAATTGGGGTCAAAACTGAACATTGAATATTTTTTTAAAATGAATACTTGGGGTGTGGTCTACAATCGATACCGAAGCCAAAAATATAGTTTTTAGAATTTTTATATTGTTTTAAACTTTCATGGTCACTAACATTATAGATATTAACGGGATTGTTACCATGTACCTTGTTTTTTATGAGTCTCCGATATTTCGGCACTGTTGCAAGCGCCATGATCACGGAGTAACTGAAGTAATTGCGGGTAGATGTTATTGGCAGACATATCGGTCTACCCTCTGACGTCGTCTTTTACTGCGTTCGATACTACCACTACCATTGGTCACATTCTCACTATTCACTCGCATTTGTTCCCGGCACACAATACTCACAGTATCAGATCGCGGAACGACACTTTTTTGATTTTTGCGGTTTTTACACATACGAACCACTGGATTCCACACACTAGACAATTTAAACCCATCCTCACGATTGAAATTCTTGTGTTTGGTTATTTCAATCGCTTCCCTGACCAATTTTGGTATGTAGTGGCGTTCTGTCGAGATAATTTGTGGATTATGGAGCTCAATCCAGTGATTAGGACCCGAATCAATTAAATGTTCCGCGATGGCTGATTTTTGCGTATCATTATTTCTGACTGCTTTAATGTGTTCTTTCATTCGGCACGCTATTGTCCGCTTCGTTTGGCCAATATAAGAACTACCACAGCTGCAGTCGATCTTGTATACACCAGGTTTCTCCAAGGGGAAGTTATCTTTGGGAGACCGTAGAATCTGTGATACTTTTTGTAAAGGAGTGAAGACAGTATTCAGTGAGTACTTATTAAGTATGTTAGAGATCTTGTCTGTCACTCCTTTGACATATGGCAAAAATAGTGGTTGCCTGTCTACTTTGTGTTACTGGTGTCTTAATTTGTGTTTGGGTGGAAACTTTCCCTTGTATCCGTTATTCTGTAAGACCCGCCGTACATGCTCCAACTCTTCGTGCAGGTGTTCCTTGTCACATAAGTCATATGCACGGTATATCGGAGACTCATAAAAAACAAGGTACATGGTAACAATCCCGTTAATATCTATAATTTTAGAATTTTTGTCTGTTTGTCCGTATGCATGGATTTACTTCAAATTTGGCACGAATATTATTAAGAAGTCGGGTCAACATAATAAAGGCTACATATTATCACGCTATCACCTAAGATGGGAACCTAAGGGGAACGAGCAGTGAACCTTTATTTCTAACTAACTCGACGCGTATGAAGTCGCGGGCGGCCGCTAGTAGATCATAATATACTGCTGTCAATTCACAAATTTCAAATTTGAATAGCCATGGGAAGTGCTAGCATTACAATGGACGTTCCAAGATTTTTGCTATTTGTAACTTTGGCAGCAGTCTCCTTTTCATTAAGGAATAAACATGCAGTTGTCAAATGTACAAATAGCCATAAAAAATGCTAGCATAACTAGACTAACATACCTGCCAAGATATATTATCAGCCGAATTATCTAATATATAAAATTCTCGTATCACAGTGTGCGTAATTGAACTACTCCGAAACGGCTCGACCGATTTTCGTGATATTTTATATGCATATTCGGTAGGTCTGAGAATCGGACAACATCTATTTTTCATCCCCCTAAATGTTAATTAATTTTTTTTGACAAATTTTTTGGTTTTTATTTTTTTATGAAAATTAAGACTTGCAACGAATATTCGGTTACTATTCGGTATTCAGCCTATTCGGCTGCTTTTATTATATTCGGCCGAATATCGAATACTTAATTTGACGACCTCCGTGGCCGAGTGGTTTGTACGCCGGGTTTCATAGTGTCGCCGACTCGAGAGGTCCCGGGTTCTAATCCCGGTGGGGGCAGATGTTTGTGTGATGAATACGAGCATTTGTACTCTAGTCATGGATGTTTAATATGTATTTCTATATAAATATACTTATATATGTACAGTATATGTATTCTATCCGTTACCCTAGTATCCCATAACACAAGCCTTTACAGTGCTTACTTTGGGGCTAGGCTAATTGGTGTGAGTGTTGGAAATATTTATTTATTATTTACTTAAATAATATATTTTGTCATAGAGATATAATTGGTAAAATGAAAAAATTAAAATCGATTGATTACGTATATATTCATATTTTCATTATAATTATTTAAGTAGTCATTGGTACATAACACAGGTACATAATATCATCTTCTGAATTGGAAAAATGAAGGATTCTATGTATTTAAATTATTGTGGTAATAAAAATTTAGAAGGGTAAGGTTCTCATTTCTTTTATAATCATTTATTAAGTAGTCATTGGTACATAAAATCGGTACATAATTTAATCATTTTCTGTATTAAACAAGTTAAGATTTTTTCTATGCATTTGAGTTATTTTCATAATTAAAATTTAGAAGGGGATGGTTATGGTGCAGAAAAACTAACTTTTCTGCATTTTTAGGAAGTAGTTTACTTCTTTTTTTCTCGTAGACCATCCCAGCTTCAGAGAAAAGGCGCTCTGCATAAACACTACTTCTTGGCGCCGACAAATATTTTACTGCAATCTTAATCAAACACGGAAATTCAAATTTCCACCATGTATACGGGTTGTCATGACGTGATATATTACTAATATTTAAGAAAAGATCAGAACAACAGCGGGCGCGCGGGCGATGAGTACATTAGAACAAAACAAAGGAACGCGAAACAACCACGTCTGTACAACTATTTGGCGCTAAAATCCAGCCGAATACTTTTGCCTAATATTCGGCTATTCTGTCAGGGGCCTCGCCGAATATTCGGTATTCGGTATACTACCGAATATACTATTCGTTGCAAGTCTAATGAAAATACATGCAATCCTAAATTTTCACTCTTCTACCACCAACCCCTATTTTTTTATGGCGGTACGAAGTTCGCTGGGACAGCTTGTTATAATATATAAATTGATGTACGGTACGACTCACTGATTTCGTATCCTGTATAAATGGCATCTGCAAGTAAGTCTGTGAGATCTTTGACGTCACCAAAACCGAGGTTTACGCCCTGCCCGGCCAAGGGATGAACACGATGCGCCGCGTCCCTAGAAACGTATTGTGTGTTTTATTAAATATAGGAATTGTGATGATAATACTAGACCAGCTTCAGCCAGGCTTCTTAGTACGCGTTATAGTTACTTTGTTGAAATCTTACGGGAACTTAAATGTTAATCTCTCGTTTTTCTCCGCAGCTAAAAAATTTGTCCAATAACGAGTGGTAGGGAAAAAAATGTTTGGACGATTCAAAAGTGTCGTACTATACATCCAATTTGAATAAAGATATATTGATTTCTGATTTCTGGAATAGAGTTTTCTCAGTATGATAAACACTTTTTTGTATTCGTTTTATTTCTGTTGTTCGTCGTTAAAATTGTTACAGTAAACCCGTTTCAGACGATTTCACAGGTACTCAACCAAATATGCGTCTTAAGCGGGATAGCGTATTATGCGGGATTACGATAGGAAAATTTCGAATGTAGGTATTGGGTTATAAAATGAACAATATTTAAGAATTGTGTATAAGATAAAACATGTAGTGTATTATTATTTATGACTACGTTATTTAAATGAATCACTTAGAAAGATTTTAAGGCATTAGGAATTCCAAGATTTTCAACATAATTTAACATAACTGCTGACAAAATCGAAGTTGACTCATCTTCTTCTTGATCATTATCACTTAGGGCATCTTATTGTGTGTTATTCACATTCTCATTGAATTTTATACGGTGCCACATTGTCATCAATGGAAGAATACCCAGAAAAACCCTGGGAGCCGCTTAGCGTGCGTCGCTCGACAGTCGTCACGTCAACCGCTGGCCGCTGCTGCAAGAGGTAATATGTGTGGTACGTGTTGACGATTTAGGCGTATTAAACGGGATGACGAATCGTATTAAGCGTAAAGAAATGTATGAAAACATATCTCAAGTTGCACGGACTGACGCAAAATGGGGTATTATGCGAGAAATCGTATTAAGGGTGATCGTATTAAACGGGTTCTACTGTATTTAATAACATTCTATATCTCAATCTAGATAATCATTTTATATGTGTGCCTACTCCAAAATAATATCTAAATCCTCCATATTTATAATATCAGTAGAAAGTTGTAAAAAATAACTTGTTGTAAAGTATCACGAGAGGCTCAATTCAAAGCTGCGCTTTTTATTCCACAAGTAAATATCCAATTTTCTCCAATTAAGTAGGTGTAGGTAACTATGATGAAGAAATTTGAGTTTGTCATTCTCGTAATTTGATGCCACAGTTTAATATATTATATTATTATTTTAAACATTAAAATGCTTGATTTGATTTGACTGACTTTGACTTGATTCAAACACGTGTTTGAATTTACACAGGCGTGCGTATAGCGCTTTACCATTACAAATGCGTGGCGCGCTTAAAAAACGTGAAAGAAAGAAAGAAAAATGTTTTTATTGCATTACGTGGTGTGCATCCTACTTCCTACTTATATTATCAATGTGAAAGTTTGTATATTTGTGTTTATATGTTTCTGACTCAATCACATCAAAACTACTGAATGGATTTGGATGAAAGGACATTGTTTTGCGTCCATACATAGTTAGCCTAAGAACCAACAAACATGAAATATTATTTTCTAGGTTCGAAATCGCAGGTAAATGACTGTAAAAACAAAGATTATTAACGGACACTTCTGAGAACTTAAATTATTAGGAAAACTAAAATTTTTTTGAGGTTATGTTTAATATTCAATGAAACATAGGTCAACCTATGAACTTGGGGGAGGTGGTGATCGCGGTGTCCTTGGACATCGCGAACGCGTTCAACACCATCCCCCACGAGTGCATACCTGCCGGGACTACCTGCGAGACAGGTCAGTCCTGTACGAGGATGCGGAGGGCCGCGTCCAGTCGTGGCCAGTGAAGGCAGGCGTACCCCAGGGTTCCGTATTAGGTCCCCTCCTATGGAACCTGGGGTACAACTGGGTCCTGCGGGGTGAGCTCCTGCCGCGCATGGATGTCGTCTGCTTTGCGGACGACACCCTTGTAGCGGCGAGAGCGAGGGGGTGGGAGGAGGCGGTCCACCTTGCGTCGGTCGGCACCTCCATGGTCGTCCGACGCATCCGCCTCCTGGGACTGGAAGTGGCCCTCGAAAAGACGAGGGCCATGGCCTTCCACGGTCCCAGATGCAGGACCCCGCCGGGGCTCCGTGCCTGGGTAGAGGGGGTGTGGGTTCCGGTCGAGATGCATCTCAAGTATCTCGGCCTGACCCTAGACCCCCGATGGAGCTGGGAGGAGCACTTCAGGCTCCTCGCTCCCCGGCTGTGCGGCGTCGCAGCTGTGCGGTCTAGTACCCTAGCGCAGTCCCCCTGAGGCGCGTCGCCCGGTGCACTCGTTGGACCGGGCCTGCCCGGGGGCGTGCTCGGAGATGTGGCGCACGCAGGTGCGTCGGCCCCGAGACCGCCCCCATATGGGCGTAGGAGGGTACCGGGGGGTTTTAGTGGAGTAGGATCAGTGTGGCCTTCCGCACTGGTCCTGCTTGAGTAGGGTCGGCACTGTTTCCCGTGCCGGCGAGTCCCACACACGCCGTGCGCCTAGTCAGCGTCACGGTATGGTGCGTAACTGCATTTCCCCTCGTCACAAAAAAAAAAAGGTCAACCTATGAACTTAGTATGAAGTGAATTAATATTAGAACTAATTCATTTTATTCGGTGCGATTTTAAAGAATAACTATTAGGAAAAACTTGGTTAGGTAGGAATCATGACTAAATAAAAACTGCAGTTTTGCTTCTTATTATTTATTGACTATTTTTCACATAATTGTATCATATTGTATATATTTGTTTAACACATGTATATTGTGTAAATATGCAGCATGAATGTGTATCAGGTGCTCTTGAATAATTTGGCAGTATGATCCTCTCAGGATGTTGTGGCACAGGTTCACTAGCACTTGGTAATAAGGTCTCTAAGGTTACCAATGTTGGTGCTCTTTGGTAACATCGATGGCATATTAGATAGCCGAAATAGTAATAGTAAAATTAGAGGAAAAACAATCGCAAATAAATACACACAACAGGTAATCCGAAACAAGAATTTTCAGTATATAAAAAGTACTCTTTGACGAGAATGCACGAATGCCACAGTTTACTACGAATGCAAACTGCCTGCACCACAACCACAGAGTATCGAGTTTATACCGGCCCTTCACTTGACAACAGTTTGTCCTTGTCATGCTTAATAAGGAATGAAAAGGACAGACTGATGTCATGTTTTTAAATAGCAAATACGAATAGCCAAGTGAAGTGCCGGCATTAGGAAGAAAGTGGTTTTTGTTTGCAGAGCTGTCATAGATTATACACATAAAATGGTATTTATTGTCTCAGAATATTTATTAATTTTTTAATTTAGCTTACTTAACTGGAAGTGTCCTTCACAATCTAAATACTGATAATTATCGCAAAAAATATACTAAGAATTATCATAAATGCCAAATTGGTGTTGGTTCTTAGGCCAATTTTAACATTGTCCTTTGGTACGCATATAGTTTATGACCTGGATTGAGACATAGGGTGCTTTTATTCCGGAAATATGTTAGGTTTCTGTGACATTCCCAAAAAACTAAAGTTAACGCGGACGTGGTCGCAGGCGTCCGCTAGTAGACTCTTAATAAATAAAAATATACCTACCCTACTAAAGCAACTCCGGGCGCGATATACCGCACGCTGTGTCCGAATCCGAGGGGGAAGGCTGCCCGGGATCCGGCGGTAATGTGCCGGACGGACGGCGGTAGCTGTCGGACCGCGCCGTCCGGCAGCCCCGCCTTCCTCAGGCAACTGCTCATCCATGACACGCAAGCCTCCACGCCTTTACTGCGCGGATATTGCTTCCACTGCACACAACGAGGTCACATATAGATCACATATTCGACCTACGATCGTGAAAGTTAGCAACTTTCACAATGGTCGGTCCTGGGACGGGTCAAAAAAAAACTTATTATCTCGAGCTCCTCTGTGCTTCGGAGGGCACGTTAAGCATTTTTTTGAGTGTGTATGCTACAGATGACCTTAGTGGCGGATTTGCAGTCTCGGCCGCCCTAGGCCCTAGCCATCAGCCGCCCCTTTCTCAGCTTTCACTATAGACAACACAATGAAATTACTTTATTGACAACTTTTATCTAAATAGATTTAGAAATTTAGGAAAAAAATAGTTTCATTTCGTAAGAATAAGGTACATAAATCGTTACAACTAGTTATTTGCTCTAACATACTCTGCCGACTTGCCATACTTGGTTATGATAACTTTTACTGGAGTGTTACTTTTAACACTTAATTGCGAGTCAAATATTTGAATATCCAATTAAACACAATTAATTTGTACGGTAAATGCTTTGTGTGCGTTTGTAATTTTTTACTCGTCGTAAAGAAGAAAACGGACGCTCTCCAGAACAGTTACTGGCGGGAGTACACACACACATACGAAGAGCAATATCCACGTTTGGGTAAATGATTTGAAGACCTTCAGTTCGTTACCATTTTAACAAACTGACAGCACTTTTCCGATCTTAATTTTTTATAGTGCAGTGAGCACGACAATGAAGACATGATCCTCTCCGTCGGGAGCCTCTAGACCACTTGAACCTGAGGGGGTCGGCTCAACTAGAGGGCGTCTCTGAGCCCGGACCTCGACTCTACTTAGCCGTTGTCGTGGCGGGGAAAAACGCCCAGGTCGCACTCTTATCCTACGGGTGCGGTGTCTGTCTAATGTTAAGCTAAAGTGCAAGTATGCTAGCTGTGTAGTGTTGGTGTTTGTGGTCTGTGTGGGAGGAGTCGGAGGCGCGTTGGCTCGGGTGATTTCGTCGTCGGGATACTCTAAGACGTGCCTATGCAGACGGAATCGGAGGGCACGTTAAGCCGTTGGTCCCGGCCAAATCTCCCTATTCCATGCATAAGGAAGGCCTGTGCCCTTGTAGTGGGAACATTAAATAGGCTGATGATGATGTATTTCAGCAGAAAAGACCTTAATAAATTAAATTAAGATATATAAAAGATATTTTACTCTTACAATATGTGAATAGCAATTTCTCACCAATGCATCGTTGACGGCGTCTACGAATTCTTCGTCTGATAGTTTGAGCAGGCGTTTAGCCTCGTCCTGCCACACGGACCACACGAGTGAGCTCCGACTGTTATCTAATGGTAACAGTGCTACTGGCCCTGTTGGTAACCATCGTTGCCACGCCGTAGTATTCTCCGTTTCCTGAAAATTTAAAGATTTCTATTGCTAAGGCGAGTGAAAGTAGTAAATATTAAACATTCAAGTCTTACTTATAATAGCGCATATGAGTTAGACAAATCGTGTACTTTATTTAAAAACCAGTGACCCGCCCTCGCTTCGCTTCCGTGTAGACAATAGTTTTTGTTCCTAGTCTTGAATTATACATAATATTTATATACACCTACCGCGAAAAAATGTCTAACTAATAGTGAAATTTTGAATAAGGTCCCTTAGTACCGAATGCAGCATTGCCTTTCTGTTGAAAAGGTTTGTCGCCCTTTTCTGTATATACCTACTATCGAACATCAAATTGTTCGTTCCCTGACCCATTTGTCGTATACTAATTCGTTTTAAAATTACAAAACACACAAGTTTTCTTCTTTAGCTATTCCAAATACACATACACCTTCTCAGTAATAATGACTACACATAAATTACTAACTACGTATTATGTATGTATTAATAAACGTCAAAATTAAGACTCGAAAGTCTCGTTTTTCCCGGGAATTTTGAGACCGTAGCGAGTATCGTTTTTCAGTCCTGCAACGCAAAAATGGTCCGAAACTGCAAGGCCTACGCAGCATTTTACGATAAAAATACAAATTTTGATCTCAAAAAGTTTTTGTTATTATTTTGACAGATAACGTAGGCCATTCGACACTAGCGCCTCTGGCGGTGAGAATTGTTAGCTATCTTCACCACTACGAGAACTGAACTTCTTTCGCTTCGCCTCGCTTCCAATCAATGTGGCCTGCGGGTTTAAGGTACATTTTTTTTAAAGTGCCGAGGCCCAAGAACGAATTTAGGCAGATCTGTTATAGTATCACATCGTCAAAGTTTCTATGAAAATTAAGCAGCGCCCTTGGCGGACGTAAGAACTGGCTCATTTCATACAAAATTTCACGATGACGATCACATGGTTCACATAGTAAGTGTTGAAATGGAATTATGAGACAGTATATAATTCACCTCGGCTAGATGCAAAGTAGCAACAACACCCATCTGGTCATAGTTCCACGACAAATACTGAACGCCCATGGCTTTGCGTACAGCGGAATTCGCCCCATCAGCGCCAATCTGAAAACACATAACAAGTTGTTCATTACTAAGATGTATGTCTTTCATTGCACGCATCTGGTAATGTTTGTGATAAAAATATTAAACTTCATAAATAAAATGTATAATTTATCAAATTAAATTACCTAACTAGAATTGCTATTTACCAAATTGCATGATTTAAGAGCCCTTTCACATTTTTTGCAAAAAATCGTAATTTTTGAGCGCCTCGTTTACCCCCTTAAAAAAGATTTTGACTATTTCCAATATAAGTAAACAGTAGATTTATTCTTCCTGAGAGAGAGAGAGAGAGAGCACCATTTTATTGACCAATAAAACACAAACATAAAAATTATAAACTGCTAAAATAAAAAACATATATAAAAAGTAAGCATTACACAATTTTCTAAACCTAACAGCCATCATATTGGTCAATCAGGACCCTGCCTCAGCATAATGTTGCCGTGACATGTAACTAAACGTGTCACGACAACGCTGGTATTCTGACAGGGCCTGTATGGTGCACGGTTTTTCGGTATACACATAATAATATAATAAATTTAATCAAGAATACGAAAAAAAAATCTAAAAAATAAATAAATATATATGTAACCCAGTATTATAAGCTGTTTATGTTATTGTGTGGTTAATCTGTGACTTGGCTTGTCATTTTTTGCGATATAAATAATTAGTAATCAAAATGAGGTTCCCCTCAAAATATTCATTGAGTGCGATTGTTCGCCCATGGTTTAATGTCTCTGCGTGTTCCCTTTTAATGATTTTGTAATAGATGTAATGATTTTACAGTAGATGGAAAGGTTGAGGTATGTATATCAGAATTCAGAATCATTGCATGCATTGTAATTTCAGTAGGTATTGTAAGTTCCTATTGTAAGTTAATGTAGAATATTTGCAAAAATACTATTTTCCTTTCTTTGATCGTTCTACTGCAGCTAGTTTACGGAAAAATCGATATATGCACAACTTCAAACACCTCAATCTCTCAATAATGTTCAATAAATTAGATCAAATTAATTACTACGACATCAAAAATATGTTTTTGTTGTAACATAATGTATTAGAATTTTGATTTTCCATCTTATTAATTATCGAAAAAAAACATCGAACCTCCGTGAGTTTTCCCAAAAGATAATGCAGGTTTACCTCGTATTTTGATATTGAATTAAATAGAATTACTATCAAAAACTTTCATAAAACTAATCTGCCATCATTGAACTACTAAAATATGTGTATATTTTTATAATAGGGATGATGACTATTTTTTTTTCTTCGTTTATCGGGTAGATTATCAAAAAGTATTGGACACGTTATTTTCTTTTTTCACATAATATAAGCATTGTAGAGATATATTGATTTGTGTTTGAAAAGTCGCATGACGTCACGTTTGAGTTCACTTATAAGGGAAAATTCACTCAAAAGTGACGTCACGAGCCTCTACTCCCAAACTTTGACGCGCTATTACTTTGTCATTTTTTGGTTGATTGCCCAAAGAAAAAATACGTGTCCATTATTTTTTGATCATCTAACTGACGGACTAAATAGAATTTCGTTTACTGTACCCCGTCATCACCCCTATTACTTCATTAATAATTATTTTATAAGACTCGAAACATCACCCGTAAAATGCAATCTACTATATAAAAATAAGTCGGGTTTTCCTTCCTGACGCTATAACTCCAGAACGCACGTACCGATTTCCACGGTTTTGCATTCGTTGGAAAGGTCTCGGGCTCCGTGAGGTTTATAGCAAAGAAAATTCAGGAAAAATTAAAAAAATCTTCTTTTAATCACCAAACGAAATGTTACATAAAACGAAGCCATCTGGTGGTGAAACGGAGTTCGCCGGGTTTGCTAGTATACTAATACAAATAATATAATATACTAGTGCAAATCTACCTACGCGGCGATCAGTACGGCAGCGGCGCAATTTTGTAAAAGGGCTCTTATGGTAGTAACTAATAAATAAATATTTCTAACACACACCAATTAGCCTAGCCCCAAGGCACCCACCCAAGCACTGTAAGGCTTGTTATGGGGATACTAGGGTAACGGATAGAATACATAATTATATTATACATATATAATCATATTTATATAGAAACACATATTTAACATCAATTACTAGAGTACAAATGCTCGTATTCATCACACAAACATCTGCCTCCACCGGGATTCGAACTCGGGACCTCTCGAGTCGGCGACACCATGAAACTCGGCGTACAAACCACTCGGCCACGGAGGTCGTCATAAGTAAGGAGATGGTTTTGGAGTGGCAAATATGCCTGCCTGCTTGATGATAAATAAGCAAATAATCCAATCTTAGAATAATAGACACAGAGCCCACTAAATAAATTAATAATTCGTTTAGCGGGCTCTGTGTTAGCTTTTACAATAAAGTCCCAAGCAATATTCAAGAGTTAAGCCTGACTAAATTTAAAACTACCATAACAAAATCACTTGTTAAGAAAGCTTATTATAAAGTGTCTGATTATATTATAGACAAAAATGCTTGGGTTTGAACTGTTCCAACCATTCCAACGGGTATGATATATATTATGAATCATGTGTTGTCGATACTTCTATTGAATTTAAAAGTTGTATTTAAAGTTGATTACTTAAGAACATTTGAATGACAAAACGGCGTGGTCATGATTTCTCCATTGTTTTTGCTTTTGTAAATGTTTGCAGTGTCCTACAGATAAATTACTTTAATTTTAAGTAAATATGTTGTGGTTAATAAAGTCTCGTGTCGTGTAATGTTGTGTGAGGTGGGTTGTGACGTTCCCTAAAATATGGTTGAGCGAAGCGATGGCTGGTTCATGCGTCATGCTCGTGAACGGGTGCTGCCGGCGGAGATGAGTCTGCCCTAACTACTTTGATATTTAAGATGTAAATGTCTAGTCACACCCAATATAAATGAGACTATTTGTTTTATACTGTATTTATTTTTATTTTGCAATCAAAATGCAGATGAACAATTAATGTATAATTGCACATTATGTAATGAAAGGTGACTTCATGAATCATCTCTGAAGTCATTTTTCAACTAGAAGTAAATAATAAAACAGTGAGAAAAAACAGCCCTTGCTGAGTTTCTTGCCGGTTCTTCTCAGTACAAGGTCTCCCGCCGTAGATTTACGAACCGATGGCGTAGCTTCTAGACATTCACTAGTTCTTGTAACTGTCTAAACTGAATAAATGATTTTGATTATGATTACTTAGAAGTAGGTTTTTGTCACAGCTCCAGGGGAACTTGACACCTCCACGCATTCGACCTCGAAAGACAGAAAGACATAGGGACAACGAAGTGACTCTTTTAAGGTATGGAACCCTAACAAATGTTAAAGCAAACATTTTTTTGTTTCTTATGTATTTAACTTCTGCAATTGTACGGAATAACATGCCAAAAGTATGAAGAACTGCGTAAGTACTCCATTGAAATAAAACCCAACCCGCTATATGGTTAAAGTGGTAGTAACTGTCAAATAGTTATATAATGTTTTTTTTTAACAAAAATAATAAACTTTTTTAGTAAGTATTATCAGACATGCATGGCACCACCTCAAAATATTAATTTTTCTAAAAATAAAAATAAAAAAAAATTAACTTTTCGGAGGTTACATTTTTTTGTTAAAAAAGTTTTTATTTTATATTTTTTTATGACTATACTTTTTGTAATATAAAGCTCGGCATCAAAATATGTGAGTGAACATTATATTTTCCCACCCTTAGGGTAGGATTTTTGTTTCTAAATTGATATGGGACCACCTTAGGGGTTTACCCATTCCAATAAAAAAAGAATTATCAAAATCAGCCTACTCTGTAAAAAGTTATGTGTGGTCATAAATAACAATCAGTGAGTGAACAATCAATCATCCTCTGTTTTGGGTATGGGTATGCCTTATGCCCTTAGGGCTGTTTTTTACAAATTCATATGGGACCAACTTTGGTGTACCCTTTCCAATAAAAAAATAATTATCAAAATCGAAATATTCTGTTAAATGTTATGCGTGGTCATACATAAATATATATATATATATACGCGTAGACTTGAGAAACTTTTCCTTTTTTTCGTCGGTTAAAAAATAGCACAACCCACACGAACCCTTTCATAATAAGTAATTTACGATGCCACAGAGGTGGCTATTTCTATCAGTAATAAACAAACTCGACCGATGATTGGGTGTAATGATTAGTTCTGGGAGTATGTTTGTTTTTAGGTGTGTAACAGCGGGCATACGGGAATGCGTACTCAGTGCAGCGAATGGGATCTTAGGCACACGCTGTTTCACTAACCATATGGTTTAAAAAATGTATAAACGAAAATGAAATAGCGAAAACTTTCCGAGAGTTTTACCGTAATGTGCTCAGCGCGAGTGTGAAAATAAAACAAAATGGAAAGTAAATTGTATTTAATAAAAACGTGATAAGGAAGCCTGATAAAAGTAACAGTATAAACGTTAATGTGATGATGAGAATCAAGAAAATCAATCCTATAAAATGAACTTGCTTAAAACGTTTGTGTAGATACTAAAACTGTGATTATAAGATTTTTATTTATAATCCAGGCATGTTAATAATTAGACTTACAACAAAGGAAAAAGTTACAAAGTGATTTGCGAATACAGTTTTCCTTAAAATTAAACCGTGCGTGTGACCCAATTAGAGTCAAATCAAAATAAAACTAATCCATTCAGCGTCGAACGTTTATATTTTTATCTTCATCCGCAACAACGTTTCTGTCTACGTTACTTCAAAAGGGATTTCTGAGAATAATCTCAAACGTTTGAAAGTATTGCCAGTCTTTTACCACGAAATTGGGTCGTGGATAAACGAAGCAAATATTGGGTAAACAGACAAATCTTTATGGAGACATCAATAAAAAAATTCGACCTTCGTAAATAAAAGGGATTTTCTGGTAAAGACATGTTGTGTGAAACTGTCATGGAAAACATGATGCCGGTAAGTAAAGAGTAAATAAAATTTTATTCAAATAGGTACTTACTTAAGTATTAAATATGATGTAATGTAACGAAGGCATTTATTTTACAAATTCCATTTACGTTTACTACAGTGGAAAAAATATACAGCACTTAAAATATCTTATTACGAAACAGTTTCCTTCCACACAGGATTTTTAAGATTGCAAAAACAAAATTAATGAAAACAGTGAAAGTGAAGTTCGTGTTTTTTACCTCATAATAAACTTATAAATTGAAATACAACAACGCACGCTTCATTAGTAAGTTACGAATTCTAGCGTTCAATAGAATGGGCAGGTATTCGCAAAGGTTTCTTTCTTTCTAATCGCAATCACATAGGTAATCATTGGAGTAATGCAACGAGTTTTGTGGCCTTCGGAGACAACAAGTAGGTTTTCGTTACTGTAGAAAGGAGATTGCTCAGCTTCCATACATGTTTGGCCTACAGACCAATAATCGTGAAAAATTGTTTCCTGGATTCGAAATTATATATAAATTACCGTAGAAACGAATATTATTGACGGATACCCCTGAGAACTTCTATAAACCATATACACTGAACATATTAAAATAATAAAAAACAAATAAGTTATATAGTAAACTAGGGAAATCAAGCCAAGTACCGAAATTATGGATTAGATTCAGGTATATAGAGCATGTAGATTAACAGATAATTGCCTGTTTTTAAAGTTAATGCATAAGAGTAACTTTTGAAATCAGGTGTCATTTCCGGTTATAATAAGGTACTCTGTGACAGAGACTGTGTGATGATTGTGAATGAGCCACAGATTAGAGAGAATTTTTAAACTCTTGTTAACCAAAGAAAGCTAAGAGATTTAGGTTCTATAGCCATATATTCAGTAGCTTCATTATTTTTGTTATGTTTTTAAGGTAACCATATTTTAGATTTTTAGTGTATCACACCTTATAATTTTATTTATTTATTAATTTATATTCAGGAACGTAGGCCCATAGTAGATACCTTAAAGTCTAACATATATACAGATTATAATGTGTTTATGGAGGTGTTTGGCGAAAAATGTATGGCAATAGACTTTATGATGTCGCCTACCATCTATAATAATTGTCTGAGCACATTTGCATCTAGTGAAAATGATAATATAGTTGTGGATATTAATACCACAGTTTAATAAAAAAAAATATTTATTTTATCGATCTTTACAAAATAGATTTGTTTTTATGTTATATAAACAACTTCGATCAGTCTTTGGCTGAATGTTACTACATCCATAGCCATTAAAAATGATTCATATGTTTGCCAAACCAGTAAAATTAAAAGTCCTTTTTAAAGTAAATATATTATATAAAGGTGTCCGTTGAAATCTAATGATTGTATATTAAATTATAAATTACGCCAAGAATTACCGTGTATGTCAATATTTTTTGTGCATTTGGGCCAATTTGAGCAATCTCCTTTGGGTGGTTTGGCAATCACTTCAAAGACTACTGGCTGACGCCAGATATGTTGAAGTTGTTAGAGAAATACATCTTTGCTATGAAACAAGTAAAATTACAAAACCAATTCCCGTCAGCGAGGCGTGTAACAAGGAGAAACGCGAGATACCACTCAAGCTTATAACATCTTAGCTCGAGAGATAACATCACATTAGTTAGAGAAAGAGAGATCTAATACCGCTAGAACAATTTAAAAACACCGACATTCGGTTAACTGAGGGACATTAATTAGCAAGTGCAATACCTAATCAACCACTACCGGGACATCATTTTAAACGCGAGAATGGTAAGGGACAAGGGCGGATCCAGCTTTGGCGCCAGGGGGGGGTCTTATAGTCGTGGTCAAGTCACAGTGGGTATAGATTGTGAAGTGGGTACAGGGGGGGGGGGGGGGGGTTACGACCCCCATGACCCCCCCCTCTGGATCCGCCCTTGGTAAGGGAACAGAAGAGTTACAGAATGGAGGCTAAAACCAAGCGCAGAAACGTAAGACGTCAACTAATCTGCCGGCCTATTCGTTAACTTTTTTGACATTAACAGTGTACTTATGACTAAAGAGAAAATTGCATGTCCATCGATATTTTTCAGAACAAGTATCTTAGTGGCATTATGATAAAGTAGTAGTGGATCACTAAATATCTCGGTGATTATGACTTCCATCTGACAAAAGCAGTTAGCGAATAAGCCTACTGGTGGACGGACGCTATCATAAAGGTGGTTGGAGGAAGATGAATGCAATCTGTTCGGGACTGCAATAAATGGCGTGCGATTGAATATACCTTCACTCAGCAGTGAGTGGGTGGACAAGGGTTTAGATTAGAAGGAAGTAGAATCTCATATTATAGGTACATACAGTGTACAAATTTACTGTACAGGTAATGATACAAACTAAAATAATTGATAAAAATAAAAACTTTGGAATAAGAATGAGTAGGTAGGTACGTAGTTTAGTGGAAAGAATTGGCGGAAAATGTGATGCGGAAAAACGCATATATAGTTTTGTAAGACATGCGTCTAAACAAAGTCAGAAATAGAATTCTATCTTTTTATATTATGCTAATAATATGAATACAGAAGGCAGAAAAATATTTATTAGCTTGTGGAAAGTTTGTATCATGTTGATGCATGTTATGATAGTTTTTTTTAATAAATTAAGAAACCAACTAAAAACTATATAAACAAAAAATTCAAAGGTAGATACAAGAAAATAAAAGATAAACGTAAAAAGGCTTATATAAGACTAATGAAATAGAAACCATTCGATACTGTTTGTTTATAATGCCACAGGGCTGTTGGGTGTTGTCTGTCACGTGTAAACCGATAAATAAGTTTTGATGTATTTTATTAGCGAGACAAAGGGGATATAAAGAGAATCAAAACATGCGGTGAAATTGAGATATGATGAATCTTTTAATGTAAACAAAACTAGAAACTTATGACAAGTTTCGTTTCACGGATAAAGTTACGGTCATCAGTTAGTTTAGTAAGATTCTATAATAAATATACACAAAAGAACGTAAAGTTTTCCTTGAATTAGTTTAGAGCATCTTTATTAATATGCCACCCCTTAAAGATGTTTCATATTTCCACTCTTTCATGTTCCTATTGATCATTAGATTTGAATATTTGCCAAAGCAATGCAATTAACAATTGCGATTATAGAACTATGCTCTCATAACGATAGTTCAGTAGCAAGCAACTAAGTGTGCTCGTGGGATCTAAAATTGGATCTTTTATATTGTTTCTCTATATTAAACAATGGTTGGAATGCTACGGCACAGTATAGCCATGGCTACGGCCTGTCTATGTATTTTATTACATTTTAACATCAACACAGAGGGTCATTGTAGCCAGTTCTTAAATTTATTGTTTATGGATGCAAGTATGTTGAAATGTTGTTGATTCTTTAAAAAAATCACAATAAAATTAAGCTCTTATAAAAATCTGAAAAGAATACATTTAGCTGGTAAATGCTTAAAAATATGTCTCAAAAGACTTTTTATATATCTAGTTATTCTTCAGAGGTAAAGTCAATATACAAATAAAAGCACAATTAATAGAAAATTTTATAATACATATTAACATACCGGTGTTTAAGTTTTTATTTCAAAAGATCACTTTATGAAAGAAAGTTGCGTTGTTTTTTTAATTACATATTGATAGATAAATAATCGCATACAATTTTATTTCTCACTTGAGGAAGGCTATTAGACTGTGATAAGTTCGCGATATATCATCGTTCAGTCTCTAGATTTATATCGTCTCAATCTACGTAGGAATCTTTGGAATTTCTTAAAATAATAGCTTGGATTCGAGACGGGGCGACAGTTATCATCAATGAACGAGCTTTCAGTAAAGCGCGCGATCATAATCCGCACTCACGTGCAGCTAGTTAATAAATGGATACCGAAGTTGTCTTCAGGCGAAAGAATAAAAAAAAGGTTGTTAAGATTTCATATTTTCAGTGATTATCGGAAGGATATTTTTTATTATGATATCATCGCTAGCATAAAACGTGTATATTATTGGAGAAACATGAAACGCATGCTTGTTCTTATTGTTTGGTTCAACATAAGTGTTTTATAGGTTTACCGGCAAGGCAGTTCGCGATGGTGCGTGGGAATGAGTCAACTGCCTGAAGATTCAGATGATGATGTAGAAGCCGCGTACATTTCTAGTGATGAGTCCGCTCATGCTGTGGACCTCGCTGAAAGATTACGAGTAAAACCCTCGAGGGATATCTGGGAATTGGGTGAGTTTAATTCTAAACAATATAGGGACAGAAAGATAAGCAAGCGTAGTTAATTATCGAATTGATACATATTATGCAAAATGGGGGAGGTGTAACTCAAATTCAGCAACTATTTTTCTTTTAGCGAGAGTGATTAATAAATTAACACACGATACAAGTTGCAAAACATGTTCCAAATCATAAAAATAATATATTTCCACAGAAATCTTACGCATTGCGCAGAGAGCAATATTTTGAATAAAAGTTATGCGTCCCTCAAACGAGATTGGGTCAATAGAATATATTACATCGGCAGTGGTTCGAATATCATTAATTCAGCCATTTTACAAGAATGAGTTGATAGAAATCTAATGTAATAAATGTCTTTTCCGGCAGATGAAATCAACTTTTCCTTGGATAATTTACCACATGCTGAAGAAATTGTTGTTTTGATAGATACTGGACAGTATGACCATGTTATATCTTTCGCAACCCAAACTGAGAGAGGTATAGGTGTTGTGACTGCAGCATTATGGGCATGCTGGCAGGGAAGGAGCTCATTGTTAGATAAATTGTTAAGGTTAGGAGTAGACCCAAACTCTTCGGACGACGCTGGCAGGTAAGACTAAACATTATAACCATAAACGCATAACAATCAGAAAAAAAACTAATAATTGAAAAATTTCCAGGACTTGTTTACATTTTAGCTGTTTAGTTGGAAGTGAAGAATGTGTCAAATTATTATTATACTACAAAGCGGATCCGAACAGGTGGGATACGTCAAGCGAAAGAAGGGCAACACCTTTGCACTGTGCCGCGAGTGCTAAATCATTGGCTTGCGTAAAGGTAAATAAACGGGAAAATATCATGTAATAATCCAAACCTATAGATAATGCAACTCTGAACACACACACATAAACACACTGTATATTTTTTTTTCCAAATTTCTATGTTATTATTTGTTTAAACATATGTAATCGGAGCATAAATAGCAGTTTATACATTTTTGTCTGTTCGTTTGTGCACGCTAATCTCAGAAACGGCTAACCCAGTTTCAAATGTGACTGACACCGATCATTCGTCACTGAGGCAAGCTTTGTGTTTGTTTCATTCTTATCAGTACACAAAAAAAGGGTAAATTAAAATAATATAAGCTTAATTCAATAAACTTTTAGATTTTTCACTATCAGAATAATTTTCCGTAATCCCCCAACTAAACTTTCCGTTCCACAACACGGACGGAGGTTTGGGCACAGCTTATAGAAAAAAATGCTATGATCTAAAAATGTATCATTATGACTTATTATTTCAGGTGTTGCTAAATCATGGCGCTGACGTGAATGCTGGTCTGTCGGAGCGGTCTCCATTGCACTATGCTGTGCTGAGTGACGCAGCGGAAGTCGTGCGGGTATTGTTGGAAGCGGGCGCTTGCCCCGATACGCCACAGGTGGGTCTGTTTTAGTTCACGCTCGTTTTAAAAGTAAACACTTGCAACGTTGATAGGAACGTCTAAACAAACCTCACTGACAGCTTCAATTATGATTTACTTATTAATGGTTCGTGATTTATTTTCAGGTGTTCACTGAAACTCCGCTGCATGTTGCAGCGTCTTTAGGTTCAGCGGCATGCACAAAGCTCTTATTAGAAGCTGGAGCAGACGTTCGGGCTGCCCTTGGTCCCGGGAAGGCAACTGCGTTACATCTTGCTGCAGAAGATGGTCACGCGGAGTGTACTCGCTTGCTGCTTGAACACGGCGCTCGTATTGACTGGCCTAATTTTAGAGGACAAACGCCACTTCATCTTGGTAAGCTCTCTTATTTCATTAGCCGTTCAATAATTAGGAGTCCTTTTAGTAATATAAACACCCTATTTGATTTGTAAATTCAGCATCAATATGTTACACAAATCATTTAAATGCAAGCAGATTAAAACATATTTTTTTTCTAAACTAATATTTTCCATACGATTTCCAGCGGCTTTGGCTCAATCAGTCGAAGTTGTGGAGTTACTAGTGTCCAGGCGAGCGAACGTGAAAGCCAGGGACAGCGATGGTCGCACCCCGCTGCATGGTGCCATCGTGAGAGGGGCTCGAGCGTGTGATGTGGCCAGGATGCTTTTGTCAGTTGGTGCCGACCCGAATGCACCTGACAACTTTGGCTATACCCCCTTGCATATAGCTGCTCTAAATGAATTTTCAGCCTGTGTGCTATTGTTGCTCGGTAAGACTTCTTTTCTTGATAACTTGTAAGCACGATAAACTTGTTGATAAAGACTTACCAGTAACCACATATTAGAAATCAAAATGTTAATCACAACTTTAAGATTACGGAGGTGATGTGACATTACGCACAAATGGCGGGGTGTCTGCGCTTTCATTTATTGTGCGGCGTGTGCCAGACGTGATCCCTCGTTATCTGAGCAAGTTGGATGACGCGGTGCACGTGAGCGAACATGAATTGGGAGATGTAGACTGCGAGCTAACTGTTGACTTTAGGCCGCTGGTACCATGTATTTCGAGAGGAGAAGCTGAGCTGCTTTTAGCGTTCGTAGAGGTAAAGTACCTGAGTACCTAACTTCTTTTACTACAAACTTAATAATCTAATGAAACTTAAACAATCATTGTCGTCTCTGAGCACGAAAGCAGAGAATGCTGTTTTTTAATGTCAACGGTTTTGGACCTCACAAGACAACGTAAAATTTCACGATTCTATTCTATTTAAAAATACCTACCACTTAATTTTTTTATCAAAATCAACAACATTTGCAGGTCGGGCGCAAGGACGTATTGAAACATCCAGTTGCTGAAACATTTCTATTCCTGAAGTGGCGTCGTATACGAAAATTTTTCGTATTAAGCTTTATATATCATGCGTTATTCATATCGTTATACAGTATTTACATTCTACGTATGTATTAAGTTTATACTTGAAGTTTACATTTAAATTTATTACGCTAATACTTATCTGATTTATAATTTTTTCAGAGATATATCTTTGTGAAGACGTGACATGTGACGTACCTACATATGTACGGCCTATTCAGTATCTCATTATTATATTAAATTTATGTTTTATGTGCAAGGAAGTCTTTCAAGCGTGCCTAGATTGGTCGTCTTATATAAGGCAATGGGAAAATTGGTTACAGTGTTTGATAATTCTTGGAGTATTTTTATGCACAGTTGGGTATCCTCCATTTCTTAATCTGATTTCAATGACTTCATGTTTATGTTAAAGTACATTTATCTGGATGACTGTTTTTCAGATTCCATGGGATATTGAAAATGGTGTGGTAATTAAAGGGAATACATCGAACTGGCAACATGACATTGCAGCTGTTACGATATTTTTTTGTTGGCTTGAATTAATGATGATTATCGGCAGGTTTCCAACATTTGGATTGTATGTACAAATGTTCACAACAGGTTGTTCCCTCTTTAAACCTCTTTAATATATTTAGTTTTTTACCCTGTAATTTTAACTAGGTTTTTGTTGCAGTGACGGTAAATTTTGCAACGTTCCTTCTTGCTTACAGCTGTCTCTTGATAGCATTTGGCCTGGCATTTAGTGTACTATTCAGTAATTACCCAGCATTTCACTTGCCCGCCGGATTTGTGAAAACAGTTATGATGATGTCGGGAGAACTTGAATACGAAGACATTTTTTACAACAACGGTGACTCACAGATCCAATACCCTTTGACAGCTCATGGGATGTTCCTGATTTTTGTTCTACTTGTGACCGTGATATTGACGAATCTATTAGTTGGTTTGGCAGTCAGCGATATCCAGGTATAAAGTGTGATTTTAAAACTTTATACACCGAAAATGGAAACGGATTTTTGAACTTCTTTCATTTTGTATTTACAATGAGATATTTTGGTTGTCAATCAATGACGTCATTACTTCGTGATGCAGATACTAAATTGCAACAACCAATGAGGAGACTAATTAACTCTGACTCCCGAAATTATCTCCCTGTACTTGCAGTATAATTCCCGTTACAGTGCCTATGTTACGTTAATCTTTCAACTCTAAGCTCCTTATCAGTGAACCAAGAATTTGGGCTAGTTATACAGTATTTTGTCTCTCTTCATCAAAAACAAATGTCATTTGAGTGGTGCTAACAAAACCCCGTATAAACAATACTGCCTAGTTTGACCACCATGGTGTTATATAACACGATTTCTCAAATTATATTATATCACATTTCTTATCGCGCCTAGCTGTCAAACTCCATAGTAATTTGACAAATTGAGCGTGATAAAAACGAGCTATGTATCATATCGTGGTGTTCAAGCTAGGGGGGCTGATGTCAAGTATTACGTGACGAGATAATGGTATATATTGTATCGATGAGCTTATGCTAGGGGTGCAAGTTTTTTCTCCTTTTATTATTAAGTGGGAAGAGTTTATGGAGAGAATTAATTGTTTCAACTAATATAGTAATTAATTTTGTACTTTATATATATTTTATGGTCTCTAGGCTCTTCAAGAGAGTGCTGGGCTAGATCGCTTAGTACGACAGACACAACTGGTAGCACATCTCGAGAGTATGCTGTTTAGTTCGATGATATCTTGTGCGCCTCGGCAGCTGTTAGCAGTACTTCGATGGGGCGCTTTATTGACTGCTAGTCACACACGAACTTTAAACATTAGGCCAAATGATCCCAGAGAAAGTAGGGTAAGTAAAAAATAAGGAGTTTTATATATCCCTTATATAGTGAACTGGAAAGCATATCGAGCCCTATGGAAAAGTCCCGGACAGCCCCAGTTGATACTAACAGGACAAAAGTTTTTGGAACGTGTTGCCTCTTCGGACGGTATGGCGGAAAATTTGTATAATTTTTCCATCACAACCTAGCGAGGCAGCTGCTGGGTGGGTAGCTAGATGGATAGCCAGATGGGCGGTTGCCCGCCAGTGGTTACTGACGGTGATGTTTTGTTTGGCGAGTGATGTACCGGAAGCGGTTACGATGGACCGGAAACGGTGGTGATGGGCCGGGAGCGGTGAATGATGGACCGGGAGCGGTGGTGATGTACCGGGAGCGGTGGTGATGTACCGGGATCGGTTGCGATGTTCCGGGAGAGGTGGGGAGCTGTGGCAATGGACCGAAATCGGTGGCGATGGGCCGGGAACGTTGGCGGTGGACCGGTGAGTGATGGACCGGGAGCAGTGGTGATGGATTCTACGATTTAATATTTTCCAATCGAGTGTTTCCCGAAACTTACGCAATTTATTTTGAAAATTTCCATATAAGGCTACAATGATTCAAGATTAAAATGTAAATACAGGGTGGGCCAGAGTAAAATTCACTTCTGAAACTTTTATAACAATAGAATGAAAATACTTAGTTTTTTTTTGAAAAATAACTTAATGTAACATTAATGCAAATTAGTCTTGATGTGCTCCGTCTCGCCGCAAGCACTCTTCTAAGCGGTGCCTAACGTTTTCAAAAATGCGCCGGCACGTCGCTGTCGATATTGCCGCCATTTCCGTTTGAATGTTTTCTTTTAAGACGGTTATTATCTGCGGTTTATTGCAGTACACTTTATTTTGAGGTATCCCCACAAAAAAATCATAGGTAAGTTTCTGCACTAACTGGTTTTGTAAGGATGATGCTTTAAATCAACACCTAACATTCGCCTTAAACTATTTCTTGAAGTCCCCAAAGCAGCCGAACGTCGCCGCGTAGAGTTCCGCATTTTGCTCAACAAATTGATTAACCTTCTGAATTGTTTGCTCTGTGCGTATAGTGCGGGTCTGACCTTGACGTCTCCTTTGGAAGCTTTGAACTAGTTTCTTGGAACCTCTTCAGCCATTGCTTAAGTAACTGCGTGTTAGGATACTAGCGGATACTCGATAAATAAAATTTAACCCTAAACATACGCAGCACAACAATGTAAGAACAACCATTTTCGTAAAATGCTTGAACAGTGAACGCGCTTTGCTCTCCCGTGAACGCACTTATGGCGACTAAATATGCAAGCAAGAGGCACGTGAACCAATCACACCCCGCTACCTGCCGCGACCAACGGTCTATTTGACAATGAAAAGTGAACTTTACTTTGGCCCACCCTGTATAATGAATCTTAAATATAACAGAATAGGTATTTAAAATTCGACGCTAAAGTTTAAAATTGTATTAAATTTCAATATTGAATGGGTCCAAGTTTTAATTTATATTTTAAAAATTCGTTCTAATGACAAAATAATAATGAAGAACAAAATAATATTTGATTTGAAGAATTTATTTACCTAATTGTTCTGTATTCAGCTATTAGCTTAAAAAACACAAAATGTTATTTGAATTATCAGTAAACATCAATAAAAACTTATGAAATTATACTTTGCAGATTCCAAAAGATTTAATAGCATCTATTTATAAAATGGTTGCAAGTAAGAAGGTTACAAAGCGAAGTGTTAGGAGAAACAATAACTATGAATGCCAAATCGGAAAATGTAAAGAAGAAGAGAATATTCAACAACAAGTTAAAAGGAAAAGCTACCTCTTTGACAGATTCTCAAATGAAGGCCAACAAATTGAAAGGAGAAAGAGAACCACTAGTTCCATGGAAAATAGAAACAGGCCTGTATCTTTGACTATAAGTGGCATACAAGAAATATGTATGGTTGACATTAAAAGTCAGCTATCAGAGCTCTCAAAGAAAGTTGCAAAATTAACTGACGCTATTGAAGCAAGGTTGAAAGTACTTGAAAATAAATAATATGATATACAACCACCATGATAACTTTTCTACATATGTGGAAAACAACATAAAACAGGGATTGATATTAAGTCTCAATATTTTTTATATATTAATTTACTATCTTGCTATTCTAGCCTTATTATAAGTGTAGCTAAAGCAAGTATGTGTATTTATTTTTGGATATTAAAAATGTTATTTTATTAAACAGTTTTTACTTACCAATAGTTCACAAGCATAAACATCTCCATTGCTCATCTTAACTATGTTTTCTGTGGCTGTTTTATTGTCACTTTTGGATAGTTGATAATCTGATATTTTAGCACCATATACTATTTTGAGATTTTCTATCTCTGTAGATGCCAGTTCTGTGTTCACTGCATGCAACAGTAGGTCATTTTCTACTATGTAGGCTATGTCATCATCAAGTATATCAGAACTGCTAAATGATATAAGCGCATCAGAGCAAGCATCCCAAACCTGTAATCAAACAATCCCTTTAAGCTGAATCTTGAAGCTACAGACTAAATATAAAACCAAACATAAGGAAGCCGTACAGATTTATCAGTGAGAGATATTAGATACATGAATTTAAATGTGTAATAAATTTATAATTTTAGAGGGGTTAACATTCCTAAATAACACTAGTAAGACTTGTTTACAGGTAAAGTGTTGTTTCATATTCACAGTAGGTATTTTTAATAAAATACTTACTTGCATATATCTAACAGGTTGTAACCGAGCTTTCTCAATATGTCTCCATATTTTAAGAGAGTTCATCAGGGATTTTGTATTTTGATTCAGGGCCACAACTCTATTGCTGTATTCTGGTTTTAATTGATAAGTTTGGTTTGGGCTGCCTTCAAGTAATAATATTTTTAAATTTGACATGACAGAATTTTTACCTGGAACATAATTTTGATAGTTAGTGTGATTATCAGCTGTAAAAAGTGATACTAAATAGTGATATTAAACTCAAACATGAAATAAATGTAACAAAGTTAACTATTAGTTAGTTCTTTTTATAGTGGTATTCATGGGAATTATAGGTATTGGCAGAGCTGCGTTTAAGGCAGGGCAGGGGGGGCTGTGGTCTAGGGCCTTCCAAGAGAGGGGTCCCCACAACAGAGAAAAATATAACTAAATATCTACAGAAATAAGCTTCCTCTTTCTGGGAAAACTGACGCTGTGGGGGGTGGGGTTTTTAAACCGTTTTTAGTTGCCGGAGAGGTACCTATGTATTTTTTTTTGAGAGAAACGCAACGCATGTAGTGACAAGAAAAGTTAAACGACATGCAAAAAGTAATCGGAACAAAGTGAAACTAAATGTTTCGGTTTCCTTGAATGATCTCTGCTTTGCATTACAACTCACTCTGGCTACGAATTTGGACATTTTTTATATGGCTTCGACGTCGACAATTCCGGACCCACAACCTGGGCCATAGCTGCGTAGCTGAGCATGGAGTGCCTTCGGTTTGTTACGCAAGGGCGGAGGGATTGCACTTCCCGCAGTGCTGGAGACATTCCGAAGCTTTTAGTTGGCCTTAGGGCTTAACTGCACTTCCAGGGCCGCCGGTTGGAAGTACAGTTTTACTGGCCTTAGTCCTGTAGGTCACTTGATAAAAAAAATTGCAAGTATGAACCTTAAATTTAGTTGTAATTTTTTTTTAATCAAAAAAAATCTTTTGTGGTGTTTGTGCACTCTCCACTAGCGTTTTCCCCTAAGCTCTAACCTAACATGTCATCTCTTTTTTGTTTTTTATGCATATTTTATTTTGAGGTTATGATTATTAATTTTTTCCTGAAAAAACTATGAATCTCCAGTAGACCGGGGTTGAATAGAGGGGCTCCCCACCACCTCCCCCCTCCGCAAACCCCTAACGAGGAAGCTTATTTCTAAACTTTTATCCATAAATATACTAATGAATATAAATGGTAAAAGAACCCAGGACTTCATAGTAGTAGGTAAGTGTTGTGATGAATATATTTAGGATACTTACCCAAGGCGCAGGCTAAAGTACAACCAACCATTCCTCCACCAGCAATAATTATATCATATTTTTCCTTTATAGTTTCTTCTTTAACTGTGGCTAATGTTCGAAGAGGTAGTAATGCTTTACTATTATTTGTTAATGCTAAAAGTCGGCGTAAAGTACTTGGAAGTAACATTTTTGCAAATTTCCTGGTAGCTAATTTATGACTAGTTTATTTGTGAGCACGGATGAAAATTATATTAATAGAACGCACTTGTTTAGTTCAGTTTGTCTTGTATTAATTGGATTTATTTCTTTCTAACTTTTATTTTGTTTTTTTGGCATATTTTTTTTTTTTTTTTTATTGAAGTTCTCCCGTTCTAGGGAAGGCAAAGGGAACAATGCCCATACAGCCTAGTCTTTAATTAAATTTATCTTCTTTTTGTTTATACATTGGAATGTCGGTGTGACGCATTCTAATGTTTCTTGGAGTGTTTGGCACGAAATGTATCGAGTTGGCTTTTTCGACAAGCTTCTGTGAGGTAGTCAACACTACAATAAAATTCTCACGTCCACTTGACCGGAATAGCGTATATTTTAATGATTCCACTAATTCTTCAGTTACGCAGACAGTTGTAACACAAAACCACACCAATTTTATTTCACAATATCCACTATGAACGAATTTAAGAATAATTAAAATAAGACGCCAACCGCACTCGATGAAATCCCGCCAAAAAAAAACTTTGGCATATTTCGTATATACTTTTTTTTTTAGTTAAGTTCTCCCTTTTCAGGGAAGGCAAGGGGAACAATGCCCATACAGCCTATTCTTAAGTTAAATTATTCTGTTTTTCTTTTTACATTAGAATGTCGGTGTGACGCATTCTAATGTTTCTTGAAGTGTTTGGCACGAAATGTATCGAGCTGGCTTTTTCGATAAGCTTCTGTGAGGTAGTCAATACTACAACTAAATTCTTACGTCCACTTGACCGGAATAGCGTATATTTTGACGATTCTACTAATTCTTCAGTTACGCATACAGTTGTAACACAAAATCACACCAATTTTATTTCACAATATCCACTATGAACGAATTTAAGAATAATTAAAATAAGACGCCAACCACACTCGATGAAATCCCGCCAAAAAACCTTTTTTTTTTAACTTGCTTTTCCCAACTTTTTTTTACTCTATAATGACATTTGACAAGTGACAGCTATTTTTTTATAATATACTATTTTGATGGCCACGGATATTTCATACAGTTTTGTTTTTTTTTCTTATTTTTCGTTGCAGAATGCTTGGAAGGCGTCCTGGTTCCTTAGCAGCATAATTTCTATTCGTTAAAATACACACATAAACGAACGGAAACGAGTATCTCTACTAAATCAGTGTGAGCGTTTCGTGGTAGATATCTTGGTTAACTTCAGTGCTTGGCAATAATATATGATTTGCCATCACTGAGGTCCAAGCACGAATTTTGACAGCTCCGCAATCGTTTCGCATCGTCAGATATCTACCACAAAACGCCATACACTGATTTAGTACAGATATTCGTTTCCATGGCAACCTTTATAACACAACAAGTAAGTGTTCCTATTTCAAACAACTTGCTGGGTGTTAAAATGTTATTCATACTAATTAAAATCGAAAGGTAATGACACACTACTGTAGTGTATTCAAAAACTCATGTCTTAGAGTGCCAGTAGATCCTATAAGTAAAATGCCAAAAACAGCTTACGAGCGTAAGAGCAAACCAGTGCTTGATCAATGCTCCATTGATTCTCCATCTACAGCATGTTCCGCTTCTCCAGACGTAGACGCGGAAAAACTAAAAGATTTCTATCACAGCATTCCTGATTACAATGATATAAACCATTTACCCGAAGAGGAATTTTATTCCACTCTAAAACTATTGAGAGAAAGGAGGAAAAGGTTGCTGAATTTATCAGTGGATCATATCGACGATAACTGTTTCGATAATAAATACGTCGATAATGTTTATGACAAAGAAGATGCACCAAACTTATTAGATGAAAAATTAACAAACAAGCAGGTTAAATCCAAATTTAATAATACATTAAGGCGACGATACTCGGAAGATAAAAAGGCTAAAATTAATACGTCAAATAGAAACGAAAAACATGAGAGTAGTTTGTTAAAGGTAGATACGGTAACGACAAAAAGAACTTGTAATAAAATATCAGTAAATGAGTTGGAGAAGAATATGATGAACGATATAAAGGTGACGCCTATCAAGACAAGTTCTATTAGGGATAAAAAGAAATTCGACCGGCCAAATAGAAACCATTCAGCATGTTCTATTTCATGGAACGATAGTAACATGGTAACGAAAAATGAAATTGATAGAAAATTCGATCAGTACTTTGATAGAAAGAAACATAATATTACCAATATTGAGATAGAAGACGAGTTCAAAACGCAAAGTATGCCATCTAGTCCTTTGAGAACAAAACGTAATATATCTCCTGTAAGGAAAAAGAATATCACTATTCCAAAGCCGTTTAAGATGACCGAAAGGTAAATCAAATTTTATGGAATTCAATTCAGTTTTATGTTACAAAATACTTTATAGATAAATAAATTTCAATAACATTTATCTTTAGGGATGAAGAAGATCGTATAGTTCATGAGCTGCGAAGTCTCCAAAAATCGTTTTCTGAAGATATGTTGCATCAGAAGTGCGACAGGAGACAATTCCGTGCCAGGCCGGTGCCTATAGAATCACGCATACCTCTTTACGACAAAATCCTTGAAGATCAAGCCATGAGGTTTTCACACTCCACCCAAGCACATCCAGTATGCTTTTTGTTAGACTACACATTTTATTTGGTAGCTTTCGTTACAATGAATAGATAGGTAATGTAGTTAGCCTTTAGATGTTGCATTGTGGCGATGGCGTCAGTGGGTTTTTTTCTCGTTTGTACCCAGTGGGAACAGTAGGAACGAAACCAGTGGTGATGACTTGGAACAACCGTTCACTGTTTGTGTTTTCAATATAAGCTTAAGGCCTGTTATGCCAGTGAAGTTGTCTTGTATTAATTGGATAAAATACGTAAACAACACTACGCTGCCATCACAAAAATGCAAAATGTAAAGCTGTCACTTGACTTTTTTTTTTTGCAACTGTTTTAACTTTTTTTGGGGTGATTAGATTACGTCTTATAAATGGCACGTCATGTGACGTCATGTCACGTTATGTGACGTTATGTCACGAGTCGCGAGTTAGTTCAAAGTTCCGCGGTGTGTATGAGGTGAGGTTGATGTCCCCCCCCCCCCCCTGACACCCCCTGACCTACCCAATAAATGACTTAAAAAAAGGAATCAATTCACTCACGTCAATTTGTTAAATGAGTTTTCGCTAGAATCTAGTGACTGGAAAAACTACTAAGGATGCACTAAACGACATATTAAAAGCATTTGGAATTTGTAACTCCAATTAAGCTAAATAGGAATGACGATCCCACCGCCCCGCCCGTTTGGCGCGACGCGCCGCGTTGGATTATGATAGTCACGGAAATTTTCGTGGCGCGTCTGATAATATTCTGGAGTGATGATTTGACACTCACGATCGAATGGGATGGATATCATTTCATCTGAGGCGAAAAACTGACCGTCAATGCGCAGCTTTATTTAGGACTAGTGGCCCGCCCTCGCTTCGCTTCAGTGTAGAGCTGTAGTGTAAACTATAGTTTTTGTTCTCAGGCTTGTGCTATAAACAATGACTTTATTTATATAATTACACGTGTTATTGTGAGTCAACCATAAAAGACATATGCTGTTGCGGGATATTTTTTAGACAATTTTATGTAGAATATTTCCGTCATACATGATTTCTATGTAACTTTAACCATTAATTAAGGCTGCACACGCGACGGAAGCTTAAAAAATGGAGTAACTTCTCCCGTTTTCCCAACATTTCCATTCACTACTCTGCTTCTATTGATTGTAGCGTGATGAAAATTATACTATAACCTGCCCAGGAGTATGAAGAATAATTGTACCAAGTTTCGTTAAAATCCGTCGAGTAGTTTTTGTTTCTATAAGGAACATACACACAGACAGACAGACAGACAGACAGACAGACAGACAAAAATTTTACTGATTGCATTTTTGGCATCAGTATCGATCACTAATCACCCCCTGATAGTTATTTTGAAAATATATTTCATGTACAGAATTGAGCTCTACAGATTTATTATAAGTATAGATAAAATGGGACTGATGTAATCTGGTTAAAGTCACTAAATTAAACTTTTTTTTTTATATTAATATTGGTACACGTTGTAGTAGGTATACATGACACCCACGAGATCTCCTCAAAACCAAGAAAAACTAATAATGAAACCAGCACTGGGTATTCCCGTAATACATTAAATTAGCAAATGAATTTGTAAAATAGCTGTTTATGTAGGTAGTTCGCTTACTAATATTATGTTGCCCATAATATATGTTTCCTTACTATCTTCGCCTGATTAGTAAATTCTTTTTCTCCCGTTATTTATTTCAAATATGATAAGTACGAATTTTGCAGGAGAGCGATTACGAAGATCAACAGTGAAGCAGAGCTAAGAGCACAAATGAAGCCTTTCAGCTTTACGAAACGAGAAGAGAAATGTATTGGTCAAGTATGCGAGAGGGTTACACACATTTTGCCGAAAAGCAAAAAGAAGAAACGATTTCGGGCTAGGCCTATCCCTAAAGACTTATTCTCTAATTATTTTTATGACAAGGTTAAGGAAGATCAATTCTTTAGGTAAATATAAATCATAGTTTTTATTCAAAAAGTAGATGACCCGGCGAACTTCGTACCGCATACTTCAAATCGAATGAACCTGAGTCTACCGAACTGAAGATACGATCGTCAAATGTTAGGCAGGAAAGTAGGTAGAATTATATGGGAAAATGAAATTGTTGTTTTTACTATCTTCCTCGCAATTTTTCCGTATTTTCTTACCGTTTAAACTTTCCCTCCAGGAAAGATGTCTCCTCCTCTACGACAAAAATTTTAAAACCAAAATATTTGATTTTGGATTTAAAATTTTCGGAAAAAATCGGAGCAGCCGTTTCTCAAGTTTTAGCGAGACAAACGAACCACCATTTATAAAAAATAAATGGATCTTAGCTTCATAATTAAATTTGTCTACAGAAATATGAATCGTAAAATACGTGCTGAAGAATTGCTTCGTGTTTCTAATTACCCTGGTACAATGGCTACTCGTGATCGCAGTCGATTGTCCACGCCGGCAGCTCACAGTGATTTGCCTATAGATACGTCTCGACCAATCCCCTCAATCACATCATCTGATAGGCAGCGATGTTCTAGCCCTGTAAAGGGTAGAAGAAAAGAAAAGACTTTAAAGGAGGATTTGGTAACCACTAGTCCTCAACCTTTTAAGTTTAGCACGGCTGATAGGGCAGCGAAGAAAGTAAGTAGTCATAACGAGTATTTTAAACTAGTTAATTTACAATCTTAAGTAAAAGTAGTTTAATTAAAATTTTGATTATAGATGCAAGATGTTGCACGGAAAATGTATCAGGAGGGTACTGAAAATATTGGTAATAGCATCTCAAATGCTACACCAGAGGTTCGAGCGTATTCAGCTTTAGATTTAAGGACAGCCGCTTCAGGCAGATCTAATCTAGCGGCTATGTTGAGAGCCGAAACGGTTAGACGAAAGTTTGAAATGGAAGCAGCAAGGCGATTACAAGAGCAACGCAGGAGATTGGAGATGCGGCACCGCGATAGACTTCTGAGATCAAAACCTGCGTGGCATTTAGTAAAGAATAAGTTAGTATTGTGAAGTGCGCATATAATATAGAATCATTCAATAATAGTACCTTACCTTCTTTTGCTTTTTGTTACAGTCATGAAGAAGATATCGCTATGAGACTACAGACAAGACGGGATGAAGAGAAAATGAGAAGAGAAGAGTTCCTTCATGAAATGGAATTAATGTATGGTCGAGTTCAACAACAACCTATGCTCTTTGAGAGGTACTATGCACCAAGATCACATTATTTATCTTCTGAAACTCTTCAGTTGTCACCGAGAAAGGGAAACAAAAAACGGAACTCGAAAAGTAGGAGTTACCATTTTAACAGTCCTTCCAGATCCCGTAAAGTTTCCATAAACGATATGGCTGAGACATTTAATGGAGACGTATCTGAGTATTTAAATAGAGTCGGTGATGATAAACTTTATTCAGATTCTGAAGTGGCAATAGATAGCTTAGATGGTGGTAAAGTTTAATCAATTATCAAGTGTAATATTTAAACAAAACTGAGTCAAAATATAATAAAGTAACTGTTTGTTGTGATTTTTATTTTTGTTATTCTTAAAGTTGAATAGTGTGAAGAATCCAGTCCATAAGAGGAGTGATCCTAGCATATAGCCCGGGTCTTCCTTCACTGCCGCAATGCTTGTACCCATAGCTTGTAACTCCAATAAGGAACCAGTTGGTAGATCTATTTGCTGTTATTTGTTTAGCCAGTGATCCTCCCGAGTCACCCACGCAGGTATCTTTGCCTGCCTCTCCGCCAGCGCAAATAACATAGTTTGCAGATTCATCAGTGATTATTGCCTGTCTTTTGCGACAGTAGTCTATAGGTACAGCGTTTAGTGCCAATTTCTGCTTAATATTTGATTTTCTCTCTACAAAAAAAAAACACTTGTAGGGCAATAACTATTCTAAGTTAAGTTCATGGACTTATATAATATGTACTATATAATAACTCCATGGTAACTGTCAGTAATATCATAATATGAACCTATTACTTTTATTCACACTTAAACTTACCATATTCAGTTTTACCCCAACCAGCAGTCCAAAAAACACTTTCCGACGAATTATCTTGCTTTATTATCTCTTCTGTTGTTGGTAAACATATCGGACGAATGAAATCTGAAATAACATATTATTAAAATGCTTGTAAGTACATTAGGTGGACATATATTATTCCCATGCACTATTGCATACCAATCATTTAATAATAATGTACAATAATTAATAAATTAAATAGAAATACAACACAAGAAAATGTTTATTAAAGAAAATCTTACCACTGAACTGTACAGGTTTTTGTAGCTGCAACAACGCTATGTCTCCCTTGAAAGTGTCTGATTTGCTATATTCCGGGTATATATATACTTGAGTTATTAGAACATCGACTTCAGGATCATTACAAACTCTACCTTGACAATCAGGTTGCGTGTCTGTATTCCAATCTCCCAGCCTTACTTCTTTTCTGAAAACAATAAATTTACAGAAAAAATTAATAGCTATTTAAATGCTATATTTCATTATTTAAAGAATAATGTAAACAAATAGCCCTGCTTTGCAGCTTAAGGGTAGCCGTTCAAAATCCGTTATCCTATCAATACCGCCGCAATAGATGTTAAGCATCCAAAAAATCAAGCATGCTGTTAAATTTAAAAATATACCTAGGTATTATAATAAAACTAAATAAGTGCTGCCACGGCGGATTGTATTTGGATTTTCCTGTCCAGCATAAATGTAGCAGCGCTAACTGCAAATTAATGTTTTTTTACCTTACTTCGGACCTACCCATACTTTACATAATTTACAGTTTTGAGTTAGACATTAAGCTATAAATATACGGTAATTACATTTGGTCATTGGCAAATTTTAACATAATAGACGTAGAATCAAGTTGAATACAAAGATTCTGTTTGTGTGAGAATTCCTCCGTCTTTGAAAGTCTTTTGAAAGAATGTAGTGTGAGCACTTAAGTCGTACGACCTTCTAAATAAATTCACACGAAAACGAACCAAAAATGCGAGACCGCTAAAGATATACTTAAACTTACGTGAAACTATTTTGATGAGACATATCGTGGATATCAAAACACTTTGCTATCCACGATATGTCTTCTGGATGTGGGGGGGTTCGAATCCAGTTTTTTCAGAGTTTTGAATATTTTTTTTCTATGCAGTATTGAAGTGCAAATCTAAATCTTATTTAATAAATCAATAATTGGAAAATGTAACAACACCTAACTTACATAGTTAAATTGACAGCACAATGAGCTGCTGTTAATACGTAATTATTCGTAATCAAAGAGCCCGCGCACGCATAAACTTCTTTTCCGTTATCTGTAAGAAAATCAACATACTCGTATATTGCAATAAGTTTGTTTTGTTTTTTTCAATAAAAAATATGAATTTCAGATGAGATGATATTTATAACACAGATACTTACTTAAAAGGTATTTTATTCGGGCAAGCCACGGAAATTCGTCAAGGGCTGCATTTTCACCACCGAAAATTCTATCTTCGTCTGACAATAATCCGCATATAGTTCTGTTTGGTAAAAAATCTATCGAATTATGTGCTTTTATACCTATATAATCATTATCAACTCTATATTTCTGCTTCACTGCCGGTGTGTTTTGTTTTTCATTCACATTTTTTGCTGCAAAGGTACTGTTCACTACAGTAGTTTCTTGTGCATCTAAAGAAAAACAAGTGAACATTACATGCGATCTCTATTTATAACAAACGCTGTAATGAAGCAGATAAACACTTACCGACTATATTCACTATGATACAGACTAAAAGGGCGCGATTTAAATGTCTAATACGATACATAATTAAAGTTTTATTTGTAATGTTTTAATTTTACTGCAAACGAGTGGAGTTAAGTGCTCACAAACTGTAACTGACTGATGTACTTAAATTGTGATTGTTTTTGTTTAGCCGCACAAGGCGATTATCCGGAACTATCCATTGTCACAAAGTATTTAGCCAGTGGTTTGTGGGTGTTTCCAAGTGGGAAATATTTTGTATGAAACATAGCAGCATTATACAGTAATTATTTTTATCTCCTCTTAAAAAATAATTAGCCAATGATGATATAGTACAGTATCATGGTAGTTACATCAAGTCGGTATTTTAAAAATGCGTTAAATTAGGTTTAGAGGGGGGTCAATAATTAATAAATAAATCTATGAAAACATATAGTATGTCGACTTTTAACATAAATCCTTTTTATTATACAAATAATAAAACCTAAATATAATCTAATCTTAATACATAGTGAAAAGCAAAAAATATCACTTAACGTTTTCCAAGATCCATTTGATGAAGTATGTAACAGACGTATACACTCCAGGTTTCCTGATACCACAGATCGAGGGACCAAACGATACAATACCCACCAAGAAAGTTTTAGGACCATCGCTCGTATCGTAAACCTTAAATATAACGAAAATTACATTAGGAAACGCCCCCTTTTTTATTATTATTACGCAGGCAAAACCTTTATTTACAGACAGTGGCGCCCTTAAGGGGCATACCAACGAACGGATCTCACAACTAGCCTCTCACAAGTCTCACGGGTGCGAGTGCGAAACATAAACCGCGTCTCCGCACCCAACAGCCTCCCGGCATAGCCCGCTCAACGGTAGCTAATTACGCGGCCTATTGCCCACCGCACCGCTCCCAGCATTAGGCAACGCCCTGTATGAATCTGCTGAACAAATAGGTCCCTACTAGGGCATGCAAAAACCGGACGGTTTTTTTCGGTTTTCATTTAAAAAAGCCGGCTTCACCGGTGTTTGCGGTTTTTCGGGTTTTTCGGAGACTCACTCAAAAGAACCCTTCACTTCGAACATAACCTTTGTCCGCCATTTCGAAATTTCAGTTGCAAGGAGTGTGATAAACGAGAAGAAGAATTAATTGGTCATCTCAAGGTATCTCAAAAGGCGGGTGTTGATCACCCGCTTCATCACCTTAGAGAGCATAGATGTGATCGCTACAGGCTTGCAATTTACAGGATCAAATTGGTCACGATTTAAGTACACTACTTTATCACCTATCAACGTGACTCAAGTAAGACTTGGGAAAGACTGACAGAAAAAACAAAATGCCTCCCGAAATATTTAAAAACTATTGACATGATAGTCATGTATTTTTTTAATTAATTTATTTTCTGTCCATTGATGCGTAAGGATGAATGTTTTTGTGTCAAGTTAAGTAAACAATTTAAAAACCAAAAAATCCGAAATAATACGGTTTTATGACAAGAGCAAAAACCGAGTTCCAAAATCTATCGGTTATCCGGTTAACCGGTTGAATGCCCTAGTACCTACATAATCCTAATCGAAATACTTTCTAAAACAGTCCTCCGCTGAGTCTGTCTGTTTGCTTGCGATAATCTCAGAAACTAGGTCTGAATAGATTTTAAAATACGGTTTCACCATCTGATAATATAATTAACACTTTTTTTTTTCTGTTCTGAGATATTTCTGTAGTAGTTCTAAGTAATATTTCAGTTTTAGTTCTACGATAATTTTTACGTCATGAAATCTTATAGTTTTTTGTGGGATTATCAACAGTAATATTGGTGCCAATTCTGGCGTGATTCTCTAAACTTAAATCTAAATTTAACATCAGTCTCTCCTTTTCATTCTGTATAGAGAATACACTGTTGTCAAATTTAAGTTTAGGTTTAGAGAATCATGTCAGAATTGATACCATTGTATAACTATTGTAAGTGGTGATTAGACCCTTGGGTAAATTTTCTGAAATTTTTATCATCTCTATAGATAGCCTAGGGATTTTTTGAGAACATAAATGGGTCATCATCAATCTTCCATGCAAAATATAAGCAGCTCGCGATAATAATTTTTCGATAACGCATCCAGTGTTTCTTTGTTACCCGCGAATACAGACCGAGCTCGCTTCCTGCTTCGAGGGTGCCATAATCAGCCTATTTATGTCCTGGGGCACAGGCCGCACAGGCCTTACATATAGATGGAACAGGGATTGGCCCGTACGTGACTCTGAGCCACGCAGGCCCAATGCGGCAGATGCAGCTAGGACCAAAGGCACAACGTGTCTTTCGAAGCACGGAATCCGATGGTGTCAACGAAATCTAAATTTTAAATTGATTCTGTTATGATAGCCTATTAATGTCCCCACTGCATGAGCATTAAATTTCCACTTTCAAAATCATCTAATAGTAGGTAGATAATCTAAAAATTAAAAATCAATTTAACCAATTAGTAAAGTTCAGTTTACTTAAGTACTGATGGGCTAAGAAGCTGACACCACAATATAATGAACATTACTAAAGATAGGGACATATTTACCTTCATAAGTGGCCCTCCGGAGTCCCCACCACATGCGTCCTTGTTGAACTGTGCTCCTGCGCACACTTCTGAAGCGTCCACTTTAAACTCTTTACCAAACAATTGGCACATTTCAGGTTTCACAATAGGTAACTGAAAGAAAATTATGAATAATGCTTAGAAAAAAGTATTTCCTCGAAATATGTTCGAATAAAAGACTACGCATACAACTATGCTGAATTGCAAGAGCTTTATAACCTTTTTACTGATAGCATGGACCAATAATATTATTATTTTAAACCAAAAGAAAATAATACTAGATAAAAATCCGCTCGCTCCAGGTTTCAGGCGGGTTTCGAACCTGATCTTGCACTGTCCGGGCTACTGCTGCTAGATTTAAACACCTAGCAGTTAAATGTTTCAAATAATAATATAAATATTTTTCTTAGGTTTTCACGCACATCACTCATTAAATAAAACTAGTTTTTACGGGTTCATGCACGAAACTTTATTTATTTATTGACGTTTCGTAGCCTTTACAGGCTACGTCGTCAGAATCAGACTTTTATTTAATTGTCGAGCTACGAGTACCTTCGAAAGACTTTTTATTGAGCGTTCGGTTATTTCATTGTTCGATTTTTAAAGTTTTATTGTCTATGTATGAATTTATTATTTAATTTACTTAATAAAGTATTTTATTTAAAATTCTTTTTTGTAATTTTGAGTTTATTTATTTGACCCTAACTACCGTAAACTACCACCGGTTCCAAAATAAGGAGACCTTTCTGAGAAGAACCGGCGGAACAAACTCAACAGAGGCTTTCTATCTCCTTCTTATGTTAAATTATGCAAACAAAAATAACTAATAGTATCTGATGGTCTTGCAGTGTGTGCTCGGGGTTGGGATTTTATCTCCTGTATAATGGGTTCCCAAGCTGGTGGTATATACCAACCATCTTCCCTATCGAAATTTGGATATTTTTTAATCTCAATAGCCTCGCGCATCATTCGAGGAACGAACCGCCGCTCAGCTGCAAGGATCTGTGGTTTATCAAATCTAATGTAATGGTTTGGTCCCCCTAATGCATGTTCACACACTGCAGACTTATTTTCGCGCCTAAGGAGATAGAAAGCCTCTCTTGAGTTTGTTTCGCCGGTTCTTCTCAGAAAGGTCTCCCAATTTTGGAACCGGTGGTAGTTTACGGTAGTAAGGGTCAAATAAATAAACTCAAAATTACAAAAAAGAATTTTAAATAAAATACTTTATTAAGTAAATTAAATAATACATTCATACATAGACAATAAAACTTTAAAAATCGAACGATGAAATAACCGAACTCTCAATAAAAGTCTTTCGAAGGTAGCTCGACATATTAAATAAAAGTTTGATTCTGACGACGTAGCCTGTAAAGACTACGAAACGTCAATAAATAGATAAAGTTTCGTGCATTAACCCGTAAAAACTAGTTTTATTTAATAATATAAAGTTTTTTTTACAATAGCCAGAAATGGAATGGTCTGTAGTAACTGAATGTAATGGAAAATAATACCGAATACTTTGAAACTATATTGATTAGTAACTTACTGCAACTACTTGCAGTATTTTAGCTCGTTCTTCGGTGGTCATGTTCATTTTTCCCCAACCGGCAGCTTGCGCAAGCTCCCCGACTTTCAGGCCTGCTAGCTGCTCTGAGCTTTGTGGCAAACAGATGGGAGCTACGTAATCTGTAATGCGCATCAGACCATGCTTAAAGTAAGTTTTAGCATAAACATCCATATCCATTCATATTATTATTATAAATGCGAAAGTGTGTCGGTCTGTTATTGCCTGACGCTTAAGTTGCTGAACCGATTTAGACGAGGTATAGAAATAGTTTGAGCCCCAGGGAAGGTCAAAGGATAGTTTTTATACTAAAATCATCCTTAAAGGGCGTGGAAAGGAAAGCGCAAGTTTGTATAAATTTTTTTTTTCACGTAGACGAATTCGCAGACACCCACTTGTTTTTTAAAAATTATTTCAGACCACGTGATATTCGGTATAAGTCGAGTCCAGTTGTGAAGCAGCTGATGCGGCAAAAAAATGTGACATTGAGACGGAAAAAATGACAAGATGAGGATAGTCCTCATATTGTCGGCCTGAACCCAATCGCCTATCCGGTGCAGCCATAAAATCTTACTGAACATCATCAAAATTTAATGCTACTTCAATGTGGTCTTCTAAGGTCTTTTAATGTCTTATATGGTGGAAGTTTTACTTTCCCAGACGACTTGTCATTTGCCCTACCTCTTTAAGATAATTTGTTTATTATATCTTAATTAGTATCCATAACTATAATAGAGATAATTATTATCTCTATTATAGTTATGGAAACTAATTAGGTAAGGTACAGCAACACTGTGATGGTTAAAAACTTTTAATAGTGTTCATGGTAAACTTTCCAGAATTCTACGGGCTAAAAAATAGGGTTACTTATGGTAAGGTGAAGGTGAATAGTGTCTGATAGTTTAACTTAACCCTACAAGGCTCCCAGTACCATATGCGGGACAACCATCAATATGGTTCCTACACTTATCAAAATACTAGCAGCGACATCTCTTGAGATATTGATAAATCAGTCAGGTATATCGCAAGTGTGTAATACAAACTGTTACGTATAGATGTCAATACTGTTCTAGTTATTCTGAACTAAGTGAGAAATTTGAATGTAAGTGCAACATTTGTCGTTCGTGTGGATAAATTATTTTAAAATAAATAGTTACTGAATAGTTGTGACTTCGAAACAAATATTGTGTGTCGTAATAAGTATATGGTTTGCAAAGGTAAGTTATTTTTTCCTATTATTACAGTTAACAAATTAGCAAATTGTATGTTTATCTATGTTCCACATATGGCACATTGAGCTTTAGCGCTCGTTTTTAATAATACGTACTTACGATACCTTTTGTTATGAATATCTTTGATTTTATACAGATCATGTCGCGAAGAAGATTACGTGATGAGGATATTGAAGATTGCTTAAATATTCCTTCTGGTAGTGAGGATAAAGAAGACTTTTCTGACGCTGATAGTGATGAAGAGATTCAGTTTATCCAAAACTTTTTATCTGAATCACTTAGCGACATGGAATCTTCATTATTGCCGCTAAGGCGTCAGTGTTCGTCTCCTGTCAACGATGATATTCATGCTATGGATACCGAAAATCGTCAACCAGAAATGTCAGACCCTCAGCCTAGTACTTCAGGTATAACTTCAGGATCAACTGCAGGTACCGTTAGACAATCACGGGCACCGAGACGATCATCATCTCAGAACAGTAAAGCCTTGGATAATAGAACCAGAGCTCCTGGCTCCGTATCTGTCACCAAAAGGAGAAGGAAGATTCAAATATCGTCGTGCGTTTAGCTAGGTGCATTCCTAAGAATCAAAATTACAGATTATTCTTTGATAATTATTACACATCTCCAGAACTGATTGCTTATTTGGCCAAAGAAAGAATTCAATCACTGAGAACTGTCAATAAAGGTCGTCTAGGAAATGATCTCAAAATACCTACACTAAAGGATCTAAAAAAAGACAAGGTTCAGAGAGGTTATTCAGAAGAATAGGTGACAAATTATGACAACACAGAAATCGTCACCGTTATGTGGTACGATAACAAACCAGTAGTTTTATCATCGTCTTTTGTGGGCCAAGAGCCAATACAAACATTAAAAAGATACTGCAAGAAACAGAAAAAGTATATTGAAATAAATTGTCCCCAAATTATCAAAACATACAACCAGCATATGGGCGGTGTGGACCTCCTAGATTCGTTCCTAGGGAAATATAAAATAAAAATTAGGACAAGAAAATGGGACTTGATCAATAGCTGGTTACTGTACAAAAGAGTTGGGGAGCAGAACCATACGCCAACCCCCCTAAAACAGAAAGATTTCAAATTTGAAGTAGGGAAAAGTTTAAGCATGTGTGGGCGATCCATGAACAAAAAGAGAGGTAGACCGTCCTCTTTGTATGATGAAATTGAAAATAAAAGAAAAAAGCCTAATGCAGCGATCTTACCTCCTTGTGATGTGAGACTCGACGGGTTTGAGCATTTTCCTATTTGGGGTGAAAAAAGACAACGATGCAAATATCCTGGTTGCAAGGGAAAAACCTTCTATCTTGTGAAAAATCTCGAGTAGAACTTTGCCTAAATAAAGAGAACAATTGTTTCAGAAATTTTCATCAATAGGTATTTTTTAACTATTTATAATCAGTTATTTCATTTTGTGGTTTATTTAATTTTTTAGATTCAAAAAAGAAACTGTTTCTGAAATAATTCAAATGTTCTAGTTCATAACTAAAAAGTATAGTAAAGGCTCAGTGTACCATATATGGAACTGAAATAAAAAAATGATTTTCCAGTAAAATAAGCAATTTTTTTTTATTATTTTTCCCTAACTACTAGCCACTAATGACATCATATATATTTTTGTCACCCATAAAAAAAATTGAGCCTTCTAGGGTTAAGACTAGTTATGACACTTGACATATCATTGGTTCTATAGAACGTTGATTCTTTCACTATTCAAATCACTAGGGATCAGATCAGTCTTGTATTATAGTCGTAGTTACGAATATCTGAATCCTGTAGCATAATTACTATTCTGCAAAGTTTTACTACGTTCAATTTCGTCGATTAAAGTGACAAACTATTCCCTTAAACTTAGTTGTAAGTAGAAGCAGTAGGCCCATTTTGATGAATTCTATTTTTCATGAAATATTATAATATGAAATATAATAATTCTAAATGAAAACTTAGATAGGCTTGGGCCATGTTCTCACCATTTAGGTCCAAAGGACTGTTGAGCTCAAGAATAGCAATGTCATTGTGGAAAGTAGGTGTATTGAAGGAGGGATGCTTGGTGATGTTCTTGATGCCTCGATCCTGCACTGCGGGGGCGCATATGCCCAGCTCACAATCGGGATCAGTCCGGATATCGTGCTCTCCTAAGCGGACATTAATTCTGAAAACAAATAAAATTACCTACTTTTTTATGTTAAAATGGTGGTAAACAAGCATATGGCCCATCTGATAGTAAGCGCCACAGGCGGCCACTATGGCCTATAGACGCTTGCGATACAAAAAATATCACTCGCACTGTTGCCTACTCTAGCTCGAACCCCTACCGCGTGGAGCCCTGGAACCTCACTCACCAACAGAGACACAACACCACTAATACGTAGTGTTATTTTACTGTCTCTTGTAAGTTGGAGGTTACTTCCACTAAGAGGCGCTCCAAGTCGAGCGAAAAATCCGCTATGCCCTACCTCTCTTAAACTTTATGTCTTTACAAACACTCACAGCATGTACTCATCCTCTTCTGAAGGTATGCAGTGTGCAGCAGTTACCACCAAGCGGTCTGTGATAAGAGCTCCCCCGCACATCCAGTCTATGTCAGGATCATCTGGAACTGTCAATGTACCGACATAAAATGTCTGTATTTCGTCTCACTATTAATTCCTAATTACAAACAGGATGTGTGTCACCGTTCCAACCAAGCTTCGGTAACCAACAAGTTAATTTATTAATGTTACACATCGGAAAAAAATCACAGATAACCACTAGGTTCTTTACACATATTGAGTCACCAAAAAAGGTAGAACGGCTGACTATATATTTGACCTTGTTATAATGAGACTGCTTACGTATCAAATTCTTTTTAATTGTGATTATTTAAGAAACTTCAGAGAAAATCGTCTACAAAAAAAAATAACAAAAATAGTGCTAATAGACACTCGTATACTCTGTTTCATAATAAAAAATGGTGATTACCATTGGTTATTTGTATATCTTCCTCGATTATAATTTGGGAATTGAGTAATATCAAGGTCACTTCTGTTTCCCAATTACTCAGCACAGGACTTGACACACCACTTCCGCTTTGTCAACACTTTTTCATTGACACATAATCTATAGATAGGTAATAAGTAAATCACATAGAGAAAAATGCTCATTGTGCGGATTGGCGGGAGAATGTTATGCTGAGAACTGTAACCGATTTCAACCGAGAAACCAATATTGAAGGCTTTACGGGATAAGTATTCCTAAAACGAGATAGTAGAAATTTGAGGAGCCCTGATTTTTGCATTTGTTACGAAAGTTGATTAAGCTATATAAATACAGATCAAACGTGCAGGCATACTGCTAAGTATGTCGAGTCTAGTAATTCGAGTTACTAATACTATAAAGAAGAACGAATTATAGGATCGACTCAAAAATTACTACATCGACTATAAAAAATCTTTTACATCTCTGAGTAACATAGGTGTCAAAATAAAGTTCACTCCTGCAAACCCGGGGCGGACCGCTAATTAATTATGCGATAACTATGTAACACTCAAAGACGAATCTGCACGTCGTGGTGGGTCACAGCCCATCTCCGTATTCCACCCATGATAGGGCCTGTGCCCCAGCAATGGGGACAAAAATAGGCTGGTGATGATGACTCACAGACGTATCCAAGACGAGCTATCCAGGGAAACTGGCCGAGGGCTGCTCTAGTGCCACCAATGATGCGGTCTGCAGCGCTCTCTCCACAATCGAAGGAGTTGAGGATCTCCCACGCGGAATGATGGGATATCTCGTGCGATGACAGGTTCACAGTAGCGTCTACATAATTAGTTATATCAATTAGGTGATTGTAACGAGATACCTATAAAAATGTTCGAAGATTTTTACACCCTCACTTGCACAATCTATAACATAAATATAATAATAAAATAATTCTCAGCATAGTGTAAAAAGTATGACACTGGTACAGTAACTATCATTACTAATTTAACAGACTAGTAGAAAAAATAATGCAATAAGACACTAGGTTGAATGAAATTCATATATAATTCGAATTTGGTTTATAGTTGAGGTTCGTATCGCATATAATAATTTTCGAAAATGTAACAAAGGAGGAGCATACAAGTCAATCTTATTTACAAAACCTATTGTGTCCAGCCGTTACGCACTAATTCCGCGACGCCCCCCGGTCGGGACACACCCGCAGAGAAAATTTTGTTATTCCGCAAGGCCCATGGCCAGGACGCACCTGCTTTAAAACACCCGTTTTTTGACAGGAAACTTGACGCTATACTTTTGGAAACAGAAATGATTTGAATTGAAGTGAAAGAAAGTGCGAAAAAAATATTTAAATATTTTCATTCTAAAGAAAAGTTTACTAGAAAAAAAAAGAAAACCTTCTAGTAAACTTTTCTTTAGATTTAAATATCTAGCAGTTAAATGCTTAAAAAAATCATATTTTCATTCTCTTCAGATTTCTTAAGCGAAAATTAAAACGTTTTTTTTATTAATTAATGATTCTGCATGCATATGCATATCTATTGTATTTGTTTATTTTTTTATATATACGTTTATTAATGTTGATTATTATTCTATTTTAAATGTTTCTTAAAACTTACAAATGTATGTTTATGATTGTGTAATATTTGATTTTAATTTTGTTTTAAAGTTATTGGCAACTATCTTTGTTTCCAAGGTTAATTAATTCTTCCTCAATTTATAATTATAAGAATAGTTTTTTGTTGTTTTATTCGTAACAGTGCCCTATTTACAGATATTTAATAATAAATAACTATAAAAATTAGAAAGTGACTTTTAGTAAGATAATATATAAAAAAACCCTCTATTATATTATATGTAGATACTTTTTTTAACGATTATGTATACAAGAGTACCTTACTCAAGTATCCTGGAAAAAAAGTAACAACGGGTGCGTCTCGGCCGGGGGCGTCGCGAATGTTTGCGTAACGCCCGGACCCAACCTATTAATGTACGCCAAAGCATTTTAAGTGAATGTTTGATATATGTAGGTATGATATAGGTAGTTTATTATAAACCAAAACTAAGTAATGCCCAATTAATTCTTTGATATTGTGATGCGACTGTCTATATGTTCCGGAGAGATTAATATTATGAGTCTATAAGTAAGACTCATATATGTAATTAATTTTCCTTTTTTTACAAATTTAATATAAATGGTGAAGGTGAAGGTTTCATGTGGATTCAGTTTACCAAATCTTTAAAACAATCCTATCAGTGTTATCAACAAAATTCAACATTTCCTTAAAAGTATATTAAGTGGAACTGTCATTAAGAAAACTTAATTAGTGTACCTATGAGCTGTTAAAAATTTAATTAGTGAATAAGTACTAATTGGTCTCGATTCCAGCATGATTCTCTAAGCTTCAAATTAAATTTGACAACAGTGTATCCTTGTCATTTTCTATATATAACAAAAAGGAGATACTAGTGTTAAATTCGTTTTAAGTTTAGAGAATCATGTCAGAATCGACACAATTTTCTATATAATCGTTGTATGTTTGACTATAAAAAAATATTAACTCACCGGCAATACCACAGAAGATTGTATACAAGGGGAATAAAACGATGATCATTGTTGTTTTTTATTTAAATTGGTTTGAGTTCATGCGTTCGTACGACCGCACGTTCCATTACTAACACCAACGGCGAGAAGAGTTCATTAAAGTTAATAAATCTCATAAGTGCTGAGAAAACGCAGTGCTTGTAATCGATTTTATACGCGCGCGATATTGTACAAGCAGGTTTACGTTTAACAAATATACCTACCTACTGTTTTCAAATGATCACTAGTTGTTTAGGTCTATTACTTGGCCTTATACAACGAAAACTTTTCACTTTATTTATTCCAATGGAAGATATTTTGATTAACATTTTAATTAATAAATAAATACGTCTCAATTCATGCCTTGGTGGTAAATTTACAGGTATTTGGTGGTTAATAAAGGTCCAAGAATTAGCATTGTGTCTGGGTGTCAGGAGTGTTTATTTATTTATTTATTTAATTTATGGACATTTTATCTACTCTTTTTTACATTGTGTCATGTTATTATATTGTTACTATGGAGACTTAATTTTCCTGTTGATAAAAACTCGAAAAAAATACAATTATTTTATTTCAAGACATATTTTTATTCAATTGCTAATTTCTACCCTAAGGATCAGAAACATGGTCTTTCGAATCGGTGAGGGATCAGGGTGATCAGGCGGGGGCAGGGGGGAGGGAGAGAAGTGTGACCCGCCGGTCACTAAGGGTAAATCCCCCGAAGGAATGGCCTCTGAGTCGTCGGCGCCCGGACGGGCACCCTCAGAGGGGGGATGTCCGAATAGCCTCGGCCGCTCGCTCCTCGGCCACGAATGCTGCGCCCGAGTTTCCCTTTCTTCTCCTAGGAGAAGACGCTAGGAGACGTGGGCGACTGGGAGAGGGTAGAGGGACGGGAAGAACTACGCTTCCCCTCCCGTTCCCCCCTTCCAGGAATGGTGGCCCCCCTCTTGTAGTTCTGTCCTACAAAGGGGGGCGGCGGATGGTTGCTTGTACGGGAACGCCCAAGAAGCCCTCCGCGGCGGATGGGGGGTGGTACGGTGGGCACTAGGTCGCGTACTCAGCCCCCATGCGCGGGCCATCCTGCGCACGTCTGCGGGGTCCCCGCAATACCTCGGGAGACCCCTGCCGTGGAGCCCCGGCGAGGCCGGGAAACTGCTGGGTGCGGAGTCGTGGTAGAATCCCTAACGGGGACCCCGCGGCTTCGCATTAAGCAGTGTAGTAGGTATTCGCAGTACTTTTTAGCGGATATTATGCCGTAATGCGCCCGTAAGAGTTGCAGGGTCCTCGGTGGGCAGCCACTGGGGGGTCCGTAAGACTTGCGGGAGCCAGGTGTGAGGTCCGTTCGGCGGTGTGCCTCTTAAAAGTGCCGTCATCTGTAAAAATATTTTTCACCGGGGTTTAAAAAAAGGGGGGGGGGAAGGAGGAGAGGAGGGGACGAAGGAACCTCTCGGCCTCACCTCACACACCGCGGAACGTTGAACTAACTCGTAACATGACGTCTCATAACCTGACATGACTTCACATAACGTAACATGACGTCACATAACGTGATATGACGTCACATAAGGTGACATGACGTGACATAGCGTCACATTATTACATGCGTGCAGCCGGTGTTCATCGATTTATAAAACGATACGTCACGTCTTTCAAGTTTTTTTTATAAAAAAAATATTCTCAAACAAAAGCATACGTATTATATGGTAACTAAATCTTGATCTATTAAAATATAGCTGTAACAAATGCGTGATCGGACAAGGCACGACTGAATTTGTACTCTGAGAACTAGCCAAAGATTACTTTATTAGACATGTAAATAGTATAAAATTGTAAAGAGTGAAAGATATTCGGCCGGAATAAGTTGAAGCCCTACGCCCTAAAAAAGGAAAAAAACACATAAAAAAAATGCTATTGGGATTGCCACGATTCTGTAGTGCCCCTGAAGTCCAGCACGGAAAACCTGGCAATTCTACGAAACAGCACTAATTTACATCGAAATTCGGATTTGGGTTTAAGTTTCTCTCTACACTACTTTAAAGTTATTTATTTATTTTGTGCACACACAACAAAATATTTGAAAAAATAGAAACATGAGATATGTACAAGGGCACTGCTTATTTCATATTAAAATGAAAAGGAAAGAAGAATGTTAATGTGTCGAGGGTTTCTATTTCCATGGTGGTGGACACCACCCCTTCTTAGGGATGATTTTTTTACTAAAAATAAGTATGGGCATGGATACATTGACTAATTCTAAGCAACTTTTGTTCTTTGAAGGTTTTATTGAAAATCAATACTTTTAGACTTATTCTAGAGTGGAAAAGTCAATTGGTATTTCAAGAAAAAACCCTTACTCTGAAAGTAAGTATTAAAAAAAAACATTGACTAAAATTATAAAAAAAATAACAAGATACTGGGTTTAAAATGTCACTAAACCCAATACTAACGGAGCAATAGCTTGTTAAAGGTTGGTCCGTTGGTGAAATATCAAAAAACATTGCATTTTCCGGGGAAAACTCAAAGAACTTTTCATTATATGTGAAGAAATGAAGGAATCTTTATTAGCAGTATTGCAACACGTATAGTGTTTTTCATAAGCTTTTGTTTAGATTTGGCAAGTTCAACAAAAAACATTTAAAAGCTTTAAGATAATGTATGCTTTTATTTTTAAGTTCTTATTTTTCATAAGTTTTTAGCTGAAAGAGCTTAAATTCTATATGCGAATATATGCAAACTTGAAACTGCTATATTTTACTCAATATTTATCAAACAGAAAAAGAAACCGGAATGTTCTAAAAGAAAAAAATCTACCGTTTTGAATACTATAAAATTTTGTTTATCTTTCCTAGTTTTTGGGTTATTTGTGATGAAAGGCAAGAGTCGCGAGCGACTCGTCGCTATTTTGTTATTTAGTCCAGGCAATGAAGGCTTAACTTTGCCATTTTGAGTTGATCACCTGCAACCAACGCGAAAATTTCCGCAAAGGTTCGTAGATTAATATACTAAAATTGCAGGGTGCTGCATTGACGGCAAAGGGTGCAAAAAAATGCGAAATGGTGCAAAAACGAGTTTTTCGTCAATATCTCGCGACTGCCTGGAAAAATAGAAAAAGTTCCTAGTACAAAGTTGTAGAAAATTTAATTTCCTACAAAAAGGTACCAATATATTTTCGCGTATCTCCCATAGTTTTTGCACAAAATGCTTAATTGCATTTTGCAAGGTGCCAAATAAAAAAATATATATTGTTAACGGTTTTTTCCCATTTTTAAACGATCCTACGGGTCAAATT